GGAAGTTGGACATTTCAAGACTGAGCAAATGAAATCTTTACCCAGACCTCCCACCCAGAAGTAGCAGTTTTTCAGTGACACTGTACAGGAAATATGCTTTTGTTTCACAGATTGTAAAGTACTTTCTTATAAATTAGTATAAAATACATGTGAAAGTGTTTACCAAAGGATCAAGCGCTATAAAAATATAAATATTTCAAGGTTAAAACTTGATATGCTTGCCTAGGCCGGTGTGGCTCATTGGATTGAGTGCCGGCCTGCCGGCAGTCCAGTGATTCCCAGTCAGGGAACAAACCTGAGTTGTGGGCCAGGTGCCCAGTAGGGGGCGCTTGAGAGGCAACCACACATTGATGTTCCTCTCCCTCTCTTTCTCCCTCCCTTCCCCTCTCTCTAAAAATAAATAAATAAAATCTTTAAAAAATAAATGACACTTGAAATGTTTAATGGGTTATTGTAATGCTATGCAAATAAAATTTTTAGTAGGTCCCAACATATACAAGGGGGGCAAAAGTAGGTTTACAGTTTAGAGCACTCAAAACAGAGTTTATTCTTGTATGTATTATTATTTATTACATATTACTTATTAGTATTACAACTGTAAACCTACTTTTGCCCACCCTTGTATATGTACTTGTAGTTTTAAAAAAAGTTTTATTATGGAAAATGTCAAATAACACTAAACGAAAGCGATTCAGTGCAATGAACCCTCATGTATGCATCACCCAGGTTCAACATCTATCAACTCTGGCCAATTTTTTCATCTCTCTCCTACCCACTCCCTCACTCCCATGCCAGGTGACTTTTTAAAAAAAGCAACTTAAGCAGCAGGAATTGATTATCTTCCAGTTCTGAAATCAGAAGTCCAAAAGCGGTCTCAGTGGGTCCATGTCACGGTGCAGGCAGGGCTGCGTGTCTTCTGGCGGCTCCAGGGCAGGATTCGCTCTCTGGCCTTTCCAGCGGCCGAGCCGCTGCATTCCTGGGTCTTTGGGCCTATGTTCCATCCTGGCAACATAGCAGCGTCTCTCCTCTCTAACGGCTTCCATCCCCACATCTTTCATTATTATTATTATTGAGATAAAAGCCACCATTTTAATGGATACAATAAAGTGTACAGTTCCCTGGCTTTGAATACATTCAGTATGTGTGTGTGTGTGTGCATGTGTATTTATATAAATAAATAAGTTTTATTTTGGGGGATGGGGTGGGGAGGAAGAGGAAGGGGCAGGAAGGAATGCGAACTGGACGGTCTCTACAGTGTTTTGGGATGGCCACTACTGTCTAATTCCAGAACATTTCCGTCACCCCCAAAGAAACATCATACCCGTTAAGCAGGCATTTCGCATTCCCCTTCCTCAGCCCAACTGTTATGAATAACACTGCTCAGACATTCATTGTACAAGGTTTTGTTCGAACACCTGCTTTCACTTACCTTCACTATATACCAAGGAATGGAGTTGTTGGATCATATATTTAATTCTTTGAGGATTCACCGAACTTTCCCAGAGTGGCTGAACCATTTTACAGTCTCTCCAGCCAGGTGTGAGGGTTGCAGTTTCTCCAACGCTTGTTAGTCTCCTTTTATTTTTTATAGCCATCCTAGTGGGGTGAAATGGCAAAAGACGTATGGAAGTTCCACCCTTTAGTTCAGGCTACTTTTTTTTTGCTTCCTGTTTTCATTGTTTACACATTTGTAGAAATGGCTGGCATCCATTTGACGTCCACCATGTGCTGGGAGCTGTGTTAAGCTCTTCACCTACATTAATTGGTCTCACTTACAGAGTATAGATGCCCTTGATTTCACTAGCAACCCAGATTCCTTTGCGTAAACAACTAAGAAGGTAATTGTAAAGGTGAGGCTGAAAGTAGGTGTGTCCCTTTAAGGAAGCTTGAAATAAGAAAAATGAATTTCTTATTTCAGAAGGAACTTCTGTTTGCAGAAGAATTCACCCCAGGGTTCCTTTAAATGGCAAGCTTCCCTGATTCATTAAACATTAAGTTCAATGCATTAAACCTGAAAACTGGGTAACTATTTCAGGAGGTTATCTATAATGTTAAATGAGGCATACCTAACCACTTATTTGCTCATTAGGCCTCTCCCCCTCAATCCCCATCCCCCGAGTCCTGTTTAGCATAAACAAATGAGCATATGCTCTACAGGACTGATGAGGTAAGAACAGAGAGCCATCCACTGGATTTGGTCATTACAAAGTTGCTGCTCATCTTTAAAAGGACAGGTTCTGCATTCGGGTGAGGCAATGGCAGGGACACGCAGCGTCGAAGGCGGTACCAAAGACAGCTTTATTTTGGGGTGGCGGAAGGGTGGGGGCTGAGAAGTCAATGGAAAAAGTGGAAGTGAAGATAAAAGATTTTTTCAAAAAGGTTGAATGAGACCGGAAGGGGATTGGAGAGGATTTAAGGTCAGGGGCTAGTTGGATTTACTTTTTTCAGGTAGAAGGAGAGAGAACCAGCCCTGGCTGAGGTGGCTCAGTTGGCTGGAGCACCCTCTGGTGAGGGAAAGGCTGCAGGTTTTATTCCCAGTCAGGCTACATACCCAGGTTGCGGGTTTGATCCCAGGTCGGGCTGTGTACAATCCCCAGTCTGGGTGTGTGTGGGAGGCAGCCAGTCAATGTTTCTCTCTCTCTCTCTCTCTTCCTCTGTCTCAAAAAGCAATAAAAAAATGTCCTCGGTGAGGATTAAAAAAAGAAAGAGAATTAGCTATATTTTTGTAGACTCAGGGAGCAGAACCGGATGAGGAGGCAACGGGGAAGATGCTGAGGAGAAGGTATAATTAACTGACTGTGACAACCACCTCCCAGTGAACTAATGAGTCTAGGACAGAGGGCATAGTTAGCTTTGGGGCGGGGGAGTGTGTGGTTTGAAGGGACCTGAGGAATGGAGGTGAGGGCGGCGCCCAGTAGATGGGTGTCTGTGGAAGAAGCCAAGTGGTTAGGAAATTTCCCTGTGATGGCCTTGAACCTGGTTCCTCCTTCAGAGAGACGGTAATCTGCTTAGCGTGAAAGGTTGAGCGTAGGGTTTCAGGAGGGTGGGCTGTCTAAGGGAATGAAAGAATAGGTTGGAATAAAGGAATTATGCTAAAGGACAACCCTTTCCTGTGAAGGCAGCTTCTCTGCTGCTGGAACACTGGGCTGGGGGGGTGGGGGGGCCTCTGCATCGGACCCAGTCATGCGTTTCTAATGTTCTACGCAAGTGTGGGCTCTACCAGGCATCTGACTTGGATTCCCCGTGTGGCTTTGTCATTGTATTCCTGACTCCAGTCCCCTCCCTCCTGTTATTACTAAACCTTCCCACCGTGCACGCCAGAGCTCCATCCCTGTGAAAAAGAAGTCTCTTAATTCTTAGCCTGCTCTCCGAACACTCCCACCATCTCAAGTTTTAACCGAACCCTGAAGATTAGCCATCCCCTGACATTGCTGCCACTCCTATAACCAAAAACACGCCAACTTCTGCCAAGTGACCGCTCAGTGGCAGGAATTGTTAGAAGCACAGCCACCTGCATAGCTCACTGAATCCTCCCGAGGTTGGCGCTGTTACCTGTTTTTTACAGATGAAAAGACTGAGGTAGCAAGAGAGTGTAAAACTTGACTGAAGTCAAACCATTTGGCAGAGGGCAGAGATGTCCCCAGGAGGCATGGCGCCAGAGTCTTTGCTCTCGGGAACTAAACCACACTGGCTTTGCAAAGCTCTTTTGGGCTGAGGCCGTCGAATTTCCAGACAGCCAAGTGCTTCATTTCCAGGGGGGTGAGGGGGTGGAGCTGATGTTGACTGTTCCTGCATCTTTCAAAGGTTTCGTGTTATGGGTTGCTTAACATGGGTTGCTTAAGCAGAGGGTTGCTTCTTGGCTTTTCCACTCTGAGTGCCTTTGTATTCCACTTCGGGGGGTTGGCTGAGTCCTTGTTGCCGCATCTGATTTCTGTTGGTGTTGTTTTCTGTGGCATTTTTGTTGTCATTCTTCTTGTAACTTAACAATATCTCTATATTATGGAGTTTGAAGAGTTTCTTCTCATCCTCACAAACACTTGTTTTTCTTCCCTTCCTTCTTTGTTAAGGTGTGGTCTTCCTAGTGGTGTGAAGGAGCATCTCACTGCGGTTGTGATTTGTATCTCCCCAGCGCTAATGATGTTGATCATCTCATGTGCTCGTTAGCCCACTTGTTTATCTTGTTGGGAGAAATACTGACCAAGTCATTTGCCTATTTTTAAATGGAAATGCTCTTCTGATGTTTCATAACTTGTACGTTTCAGATTGTACCTTAGCAAACCCTCCCGTCCCCTGTGGTGGCCGTAATGCAGAAGGCCTTTAATCACGCACTTGATCAGGTGACTACAGAAACAGGGTAAAGCCCAGAGATCCTGTAGCAGCCAGGTAGGTAGGTTGAGGTTGCCCGTGATATTGGCTCAAAGAAAATGTGAGAGAAATTTGTGTAAGAGATGTAACGAAAGTTACACTCTTAAGAACTTGTGAGTATAAACCTAAGCAAACAAAAAAAAAAAGTGGAAGAAAGGTATTTTTTCGATAACATGGGTTTGCCTCATATACTTATTCCTCCATCCACCACGTTTTTTTGCCCCTTGAACTGGGAGCAGAATCTTACTCCACTTAAACACATGTTTGTGTGGTCCATGTTGTCTGCCTTCTCCCTTACACTATTTCCTCTTGTCCTGACTTTTTCATCATGTCTTCTGCACACCAAACAATATAAAGGTAACTAACTGTTGGGTTGACTGGCCGCTTCCTATATCCCAGGAACTACGCTCTAGTGTTTTATTTCTTGCATTGGAAAACTGACCGCGTCGTCTTGATTTACTCCATCCATTTATTTTTCAAAAGGGTTTCCACGGATGACCAGTGACACAAAGATCGGACTGGCTGAGAAATGCCATTCCTGGGCACGCGGGGCAGAGAAATGTTTTGTTAGCCTGACGGTTGAATTTGCACCATCCTGACCATTGCTCTGAATATTTTTCTTCCTGTCTTCACAGCCGCTGCCGGAGAAGTTTGTGGTGAAAGGTGTTGTGGACCGTTTTTCAGAAGAGTTCGTGGAGACCAGGAGAAGAGCTTTGGATAAATTCCTGAAAAGGATCACGGATCATCCTGTCCTTTCTTTCAATGAACACTTCAATGTTTTCCTTACTGCTAAGGTGAGGGCAGGTTTTTCCTGTTCCTTCCCCGAGACCGGTTTTCTCCAGGCTCTTCGTTCAGGGTCGTCTCCGTCTTGCACAAGCCACCTTCCTGTACGGTCGCTGTGGTGGCTGTCCTGTAGAGGCTGCTGTGTTTTGGGTGCCCTTTTGCGTTAGTATGGTCACCGTGTTTGAATTCAGGAGCAAACACAGCCGTGCAGCAGCAGAGGAAGTTTGGATGTTTTCACTTCCCAGGAGCAGGGATAAGTGTTTCTTTAAACACTTGTTGGCGCATCACTGAGTGAGGCCATTCTGACCCACGGTGGGCATGCAGGGTAAGAACAGCTGTTTGGTGAGGATGTTCTCCACAAGAACCCTGTGCCGAGGAGGAAACCGACATTCAGGGAGTTTGCACCTGTTCAGGTAGCATCACTAGTGTTTGAAGTTGGGCCCTTGTGGCCCCCGAGGCCACGCCCGGGCTCTGGAACAGACTGCCTGACCATGAGTAGTTCGGTATTACTTGGCCACGGCCAAGTTTTGGATCAGGTGGGCATTTTCCAAGCCTCTGCTGGAGAAGTATTTGGGTTCTACCCAGTTGCCAGTTTCCGTTTATTCAGACGCCACTCGGAGACTCACCAGCTTCTCTCTGCACTTCCCTGTTGGCAGACCTGGCCAGGAACCTGCGGCACCCTCCCCCGAGTGTCTGCAGAAGCGGGATCCCACGCCAGCTCCCTTCCAGCTCCTCCCGTGTGGTTTCACGTGTCATGTTCCCACCTTCAGGACGTAGGTAGTTTTTCCCACGTTGGCAAGGGTACTGAGGCCCAGGTGCTTTCCAGTCTTCTTTTCTGAAAAGGCAAAAAATGAGAGATAGTTACGGATGGCCTCGGGGGCGCTGAAGCCTTCCGAGAGGGCGCCTGTCTCCGGGCACCAGAAACCACGCGGCCACGTCCGCTAGTTTTCGGGCAGTTTTTCTTTAAAACCCCCGTTGGCATTTAGCCTCATCGACGACATTCCTATTCATCTTCCTTTCTTCTAGGAGGCCTTTCCCCCACAGGTCAAACTTGTGTTATTTTTTAAATAAGTGTCTCCTGGTGAGCTGATCCTTGAGGTAGTTCTTTCAGCTTATACACAAAGTAAACTCCATTTCTGCTGTCCCCAAAGTGCAGCTCACTGATTCTCCCAAGTTATAGGTGTCCTGGCCAGGTAGGCCCTCGAGCTTAGTCATTTTAATTACACAGAGGCAAAAGGGTGGGGGGGGGGTTGGACCCCTGGTGGATGGGACATCGTGTGAAGAATAAATAGGAAGATTGTGTGTGTGTGTGTGTGGAATTTACCTGTGGGCCAGGCAGCATGGAATGATTAAAAACAGTCCTTCGGTGTCTTAATGAAAGTCCAAATTCATGCTAGTGAGTGAGTGAAGTTGGCTTGTTTAAACAGAACAAAGTCTAGCCCCAATTCAGTGTTCCTTGCTGAACTAAATGCAACGAATAACCCCATCTTCTCTCTCGTTTTTTAAAATTGTGGTAAAATACTCATAACACAAAATTTACTATCTTAACTTTCTCAGGACGTACAGTTCATTAGTGTTAGGTGTATTTGCACCGCTGTACGCTAACCTCCAGAACTTCTTCATTCTGCCAAACTGAACTGAAGTGTGGACTCCTCCATCTCCCATCTCTTTCTTCCCCCAGACTCTGCCCCCCCCCAATCTTTTCTTTCAACACCTCGAGCAACTTGGTCTTGTTCTTGAATTGCCCGCTTACACACCTGCCACGGCGAGCGCAGAAGCTTTCTCCTCCCTGCGAGGACGTGCTCTTATCACAGACCAGGCGTGCCTGGAAGCAGCAGCCAGGACTGCTGGGAGAGGTGGGGGACACTCAGCACCCACTGTGTTCGAATCGGCGTTTTCATCTGTGGCAGAAAGGGTGCAGCAATCAGATAGGCGCTGCAGCCAACATGTTAATTAACTTGGATGGCTGGGGCTACCCTTTCAAAGGTCTACTCTAAACAGAGCTTATGCAACCCAACGAGCCCTTCTGGATCCAGCCCCGCTCCAAAAAATACTATCTGCGGAATCAGTCTTGAGAATTGCAAAGCTTCATTATGGTCTTGTGCAAGCCTGGTGCCTCTGAGGATATTATGTGCCTAGAACGTATATGGTTAGAAGGGGAAATGGAATTTTTAGAACATTCTCTCTGGCATCCTGACTTTGCAGAGAAGGAGAGAGGTGGAGGAAGGGGGCTGGGGGTGACTTCTGCTGTTGTTCAGACAGGCGAGCCTTGGCTGGAGTTTATATGCTGAAGGATTCGAAGTTGAAGATACAGATGGGGAGGGGGGGTTGTTGCTAGGGCAAGGGTCTGGGTTGCGGCGGGGTGGATGGGAAAGGGTGCAGTCAGGAGCAAAGGTGAAGGCCCGGCCTGCGTGAAGAAGGAAGGAAGTGAAATCGGGAGGAGCCTGCACCTCAGACACCGTGGAGATCTGAGCCTGTGTTGTGTGTCAGAGGCAGGGAGGCTGCTGGACAGTGGCAGTGACCGTGATTTCCTGCCCTGTTCCTATGTTAGGCCCCTGCATCTTCCGTAAAACCATCTGGGGAGGCACCATTCAAGTTAGGGATGTAGAAGAACCTGAAGATACTGTCGCTTCCTCTTCTACTTTCCTGATAGGCAGTAGCTCCTTTCTGCCCGCACCCTGACGGGCTTTTTAAACTTAGACTCAGTGCCTTACATGGCTCAACCTATTTCCCTGTCTGTGCCTTGACCAAGAAGCCCAGGATGCAACGTTTGGTTGTTTACAGCCCCTGCCCACTTCTGCGCTGAGTTTCCAGCGCTGGCTTCTCTGTCCCCACTTCTGGCTCCCCCGCCCCCTTTACTCTCTCCTCTTATTTGGCTTTGTTTGAGATGTGAATAACTGAATGGAGTGAATTTCAGCTCCTGAATTTTGGTTCTAAATACAACTTAGGATATTTTGCGAAGGACAAAGGGACTTTTGGGTTTTGGTCAAACGTGTTGCAAAGTGATGTTGGAGACACAGTGTTGTTTAAAGGAGAACACACTCAGGCGAGTGAACCTGGTTGGAAGGGGGCCGTGAGCCTGCGGGTTGTGATGGCAAAGAGGGGGCCCTTTGGTGCGTGTGGCCGGGCCCTCCAGCTCGGCTCCTTGTGTTCTGAGTCCTCTGTTTCCAAACGGCCGTTGCCTGAGGGAGCTAGTTACTGAGTTCTGACTGTGTGGGCGCCTGAGCCTCTGGGGTTATCTGTACCTGTGTCGCCCCTAGGACCTGAATGCCCACAAGAAGCAAGGGATGGCGCTGCTGACCCGAGTGGGCGAGTCGGTCAAGCACGTCACCGGCGGCTACAAGCTGAGGAGTCGGCCTCTGGAGTTTGCAGCCATAGGCGAATACCTAGACACGTTTGCGCTCAAACTGGGAACCATAGATCGGATAGCTCAGCGGATCATCAAAGAGGAAATAGGTGAGCTCTCTGTTGAGGTTTTGGGGCATGCACAGGAACCCGCAGAAACAGCACTCGTGTGCGCTAAGGAGGATCAAACTGCAGAGGTGGTGGAGGGACAGAACGAGGCCATATTTTACTTATGAAACTAACACTCACCCGGAGGGGAGGAGGTGGCTGTGGCCGGAGAACAACCGGTGCCACACGCTCTGCCTTGCATCGCGGCCCTGGGGTTGCTCTCCCCACTCCCGTTTTTGTCTTCACTTGAGCTTCAGAAGTGGAGACACAGATACAATGTCCCTTCATTCACAGGGAAGATAATTCACAAAAGGAAACTTGGCTGTCTTTTCTGGCAGAAAGATGATTCAAAGGGACAGCATGGCCACCTGTGTTTGCCAAAGTTGTGATTGCAACGAGCCTTCCGACTGGAAATGGACTCGCCTGCCTGACGGGGTTGCATTTCAGTCCCGCTCTCCCTGCACTGCGCAGACACGAGGCCTGTCTGCCTGTGTTCTTCCTCGTTGTTGCCACTGCTTCCTCCTCACCTGTCTCGTGGCCACCTGCTTTTCTGTATCCCAGAACGTCGGGGCCTTTCATGAGACAGACAGACCCGAATGGCGTTGGTGATCGTGCTGGGCACGTGACGTGAAACTCACGGAGAGGACTGTCCAGTAGCTGCCACCTGTTGGCTGCTAAACAGTGGCAACAGCATTGTAGTGTCACGGCCAGAGTCCCGGTGAAATATGGTGGCCCAGAGTTTCTTTGTGAGGGGAGAGAACGGTTTTTCTTGTTTCCTGTGCTTTAATTCTCCTTTCCCCACTGTTGGTATTGTGTGGGGCCCGCAGGTTTTGGAGAGAGCTTTAGGTCCATGCGCACCTAAGGACCTAGTGTTTGGGTGACCCCTGTGTGAGGGAGTGATTCTGCCTGGGTGAGACCACATATCCTGTAGCAAACGTTTCTTAAAATTCCATTGCAACTGATTTTTTGGTTAGAGCATCATCCCAGTAATACCAAGATTGGGAGTTCGATTCCCAGTCAGGGCACATACAGGAATCAACCAATGAATGTGCAACTAAGTGGAACAGCAAACTGATGTTTCTGTCTGTCTCTCTAATATCAATACATTTTTTATGTGAACATTCCTCTAAACCTATAGGAGACTCTGCCACCGTTGTTAAAATACTGCTTCCCTGTGTGGGTAGGCGAGTGTTTATTTCTGAAGGTATTTGGTGGGGATGGCTCCTGCCACTCGGCCCCAGAGGGTACTGTGGCCCCCACTATCCAGAGGCATGGCATCTCATTATGGGGTGGGGTTGAGTGGTGTTTCGACCTTAACTATAGCATCAGCTTTTAGAGATTTTTAAAAATTGGTATGCCCTGGCCGGGTGGCTCAGCTGGTTGGAGCGTTGTTCTGTGCACCGAGACGGTTGCAGATTCCATCCCCAGTCAGGGCACATACCTAGGTTGCAGGTTCAATCCCCCAATCAGGGAGTGTATAGGAAGCAACCGATTAATGTTTCTCTTTCACATCAGTGTTTCTGTCTCTCTAAAAAAATCAATTTAAAGAATGGTTACACGCGGTGCCGTGTTGAAAGGAGCGCACGCTCAGGGGAGGGAATGGCCGAGGAAGCACATCTTACTGTCGAGAGCTCCTGGCTGCCGGGTCACGGAGTCAGTAATACCAGTGACTGCGCCCAGCTGGAGCTCCCGGTGTCTCTCCCCCGCCCCGCCCTTAGAGTACCTGGTGGAGCTGAGGGAGTACGGGCCTGTGTACTCCACCTGGAGCGTCCTGGAGGAGGGGCTGGCCCAGCCGCTGGAGGGGGTGTCGGCTTGCATCGGCAACTGCTCCACCGCCTTGGAAGAGCTGACGGACGACATGACCGAAGACTTCCTGCCCGTGCTCAGGGAGTACGTCTTATACTCCGACTCCATGAAGGTGAGCCGGCGCTGCCCGGGGACTTGGGGCTCTCCTTGTGGTCATCCCCCCAAAGTAACTGATTGTTGTCCGTTTGCATGTGGCACAGGTTTCCTTTGTCCTGGGTGGGCAGGGTCAGACGCGTGGGCATGTCAGTAGAGCCCGTGGCGAACAAAGTATGTGAATTAAGTGAAAAACAAAATAGTTTGGAAGGAATATTCGTGGTCACTGAGAATTCAAGGGGGTGTGGAGGTTACTAGAGCAGCCCAGGATGCGGCGGGAAAAGAACAACTGGGTGATCGGAGCTCTTGGAGGTTGTTAACATGACTGCTGAAATAAAATTGAACAATGAAGCCAGAAGATGAGGATGAGGAAATCTCGGAAAGTAAAACGCACAAAAACAGTCATTGGGCAGTAGAGCCAAAGAAAAAAAATGCAAAAACACTGAAAAGCTGAAGGAAGGGACGAGACAGAGAGAACTGGTCCCAGAGGTCCAGCATATCCAACTGATAAGAGTTTCTGGTTGTGAGAGGGAAGGGAATTGTGAAAGAAATAATAGAAGGAGCTCTCCCAGGTTCAAAGGACATTTTAATTGCCCAGCAAGGGGGAATGAACAGAGAAACCAACCCGGAGCCTATACCTGGAATATTTTAGAACGAAGGTGATAAGGATCAAACACTTTAACACCCACACTGGAAACTGCCGCAGCCTGTATGCAGACTGGTTGGAGCCTGGGCCGGTCCTCCTGACCAACAGAGGTGGGTGGGTGGCTCCGGGCTGACGTCCCATCTTCCAGTAGCCCCCCTTTTCTGCTTTCCAGAGGAGACCTCGGTGGGTCGGGGCTGATGAATCTCTAGAGAGAAGCCTGTCGGTCAACTTGGGTTCTGTGAAAGAGTGAAAAAAAAAAAAAAATAAAGAACCAACTGGTGATAAAAGCTTTCTTATAGAAAATAGCAAGCATACACAGAAGTCGGAAAGAGGGGTATGATGAGTTCTCATATCCCCGTCACCCTTGCTCCATCAGAGAAGTTTCTTAAAACTGTGGAGTTTTAAGGCTCTCTATGCGTGTTCAAGTGTGAGTGATGGAAAGTGGAGCCTGTTGCGGGTGGAGTGAATCCCTGTCTCACGCATACTCTGAAAAGCTGCTAATAAAACACTTTCAAAGACAGGGTCAGGTCTGGATCTGAGAGTGACCAGGGGACATGGTACAAATCTCCTTGCCTGTGAAGTGGAAATACTGGTAGTGATGATCATAAGGATAAAACTCACACACGAGATCCCAGAGGCAGCTTTGTTGGTAATTATTGGAACTGAGGCTGAAAACCAAGGCGTCTGACTCCGGATTTGTGTCCCAGGCTCCTCCTACTACGTTGCATTTTTAAAATTGAGATCCACACACTGCATGTTTAATTCTGTGGCTGAAACAAGTATAGACAGGCATTCCGGGGAGGGTGGAAGCCAATGGGCGATGGGGGTCTAAAGGTACAAACTCCTGATTACAAAATAAATAAGCCACGGGATCTAGTGCACAGCCTGGTGGCTGCAGTTATCACTGTGCTGTGTGCTCAAAAGCTGCTGAGAATAGATCTTAAAAGTCGTGATCACAACGAAAAAAATTAACTATTGCACGTGCACTGATGGATGTTAACTACTCTCATTTCACAATGTACACAAATCGTCAAATCGTCATATATACCTGAAACTAATGTTTTATGTGATTTGCATATCAATCAAGAGGCCTCCTGACTTGTTTAAAATGTACCAGAATATTTTGCTGTACTTACAAGTTAGTAGGCTAATAGTATCTGTGTTGTAAACAGACATAAATTAAAAAAATCCCAGGAGTGTCCCTAAACTTGTCTCTTACATAGATATACTCTTCATAAAAATTGCTTCCTAGAAAATAAAGAAAAAATGTTCCCTTCCCCTTGTCAGACTGAACATCTGAAGCATCCATGGTCCTGGGACATTCCAGTATATACTATTGGGTTGGCCAAAAAGTGTGTTTGTTTTTCCATAAGATGGCTCCAGTAGTACTTAGTGCTCTTTCATTTCATTTGAAACAGTTTTGTTAGATTATATTGTGACAGCTGTCATATCAGTTTGCATTTAAAAATATCAAAATTGATTAATTTTTTTGTGTAGCCATTTTAATATCAAAGATGGAAGAGAATACGCAACATTTTTGGCATATTATGCTTTATTGTTTCAAGAAAGGTAAAAATGCAACTGAAATGCAAAAAAGATCTGTGCAGTGTATGGTGGAAAAGGTGCTGTGACTGATCAAATGTGTCAAAGTGGTTTGCAAAGTTTCATGCTGGAGATTTCTCACTGGATGATGCTCCACAGTCAGGCAGACCAGTTGAAGTTGACAGCGATCAAATCGAGACATTAATTGAGAACAGTCAATGTTATATCACACAGGAGATAGCCAACATACTCCAGATACCCGAATCAATAAATTGATTGGTGAAAATGAAAAATGTGTATTTTATTTTATGTCAAAAACTAAATGGATTTTTTGGCCAACCCAATACCTATACACCTCAGAGAGCACAGTTATCTCAGAGGTGTTGGTGAACGACCAGGGCGAGATGAGAGAACAGTGGCTGGCCGGGAAAGGCCACGTAGAGGAAACGGCTTCAGGAATGACGTGTCGGACTGAGCATTGCAGGTGGAAGGAGCGGCCGGCTCTGAAGCAGAGATGAGCATGGTGTCTGCTCACACTGGAAGTCCAGTGTGAGCGCGGCCCAGTGAGCAAGGCGGGAAGTGGGAGGGGGCCGAGGCCCAAGAGGCAGATGGGGCCAGGACGTAGAGTGGTGTCTTGGAGGCCGTGGTTGTGGAGAATCTGGATTTTATTCTCAGGAATAAAAGGGAATTGCTCTGGCTTGTGCAGGGGGGTGACAGGAGACACTTCTCACTGAAGACGCCGGCTGGTGCTGTAGCACGGAGAGTGGCTGCAGACCCACTAGTGGAGGCAGGGAGGCCAGGCGAGGAGATGGCCCCCGCCGGCCGAGGGGCAGATGCCCGAGGGGCTGGAGCTTGGACTAAGTGGTGGTGGAGAAGTGGGTGGGTCAGGGTCGGGGGTATGATTTGCCCGAGGGGCCAAGTAGACTTGCTGCCATATTAATGTGGAGTAAGAAAGGCAGGGATTGAGAACGACTCCTGGGTTTTGGCTTCCGCAGCTGGGTGGACCGGGGTGCTGTTCATCGTGGCGGGGAAGTCTGAGAGGAGGAGTTTGGGCGGGTGGGAATCGAGTGGTTTTGGCCATGTGGAGTCCGACAAATGCCAGGCAGTCGTTAAAGTAGCGGTGTCTTGGCAGCTGCTGCTGAGTTTGGTCCAGAGTGGGAGCAGAAGTTTGGGTGATGTTTGCATATAGGCGGCGTTTCGATCTGTGACGGCTGGGGAGATCGTCCAGTGGGGAGACTGAGGCTAACTAGGCCTGCGCCCTGAGGCATGGCAATATTCCGTGGGCTAGCACCTGAGGAGGAGGAACAAGTAGAAAAGGAGCCTGAGAAGGAATGGTCAGTGCCGTAGGAGGGAAAAAAAGATGGCCTCGGGGAAGCCCAGACAAGTGTTCTTAGAAGAAGGAACACGATAAACCATTGGGTTTAATAATATGGAAGCCATTGGTAATCATGACTAGGGGGTCATATGTGGGTGCATAAATTTGGGTTTAAAGACAGAATTGGTCTTTGCATTACAGACGCTCAGATGCCATTTAGTTAATTGTGATAGTTTCTTTAGCCTGACCACTTTTGCCCCCAGGGGCCACAAGGTGGAGCTCATGAGTCAAGTAACTAGTTTATACCTTAGGTCAGAGATTTTCAACCAGTGTGCCACAAGAATTTTTAAAACATGCAATAGATAATACCTGACCGTTTAGTCAGGGCACTGACCTTTTTTTCCCCTCAGATTGTCACATAAAACAATGGCAACAGCCAAAGCAACACTAGCCATCTGGTGTGAGTGAATCAAATTATATCTACTTTTTTGGTCAGATCACAGAATCATAGTAATCAGTTCAAATGTACCATGAGATGAAAAAGGTTGAAAATTACTGCTTTAGGTTGGCTAGTTCTGGTGCCTTTCAAAAACTAAAAAAGGGGGTTTCTGAGTTAGGGCAGAAAAACCCTCCTTTCTAAACACAAGCGATCATAGACCGAGGCCCCAGTTTCCTGAAATTATGAAGAAGTGGGATGTAGACATCCATGTGGCCTCAAATGCTATTTAAAAATCAGAAAGTGCAATGATTAAACCTCTGAGATGCCCCGTGCCTGCAGATTGAATGCATTTTTTAACTTCCAGTTCGTGAAATCGCACCCAAATCACCCCAGAACAGTTTTTTAAAAAGACTTCATCTTGCAGGAACAAAGCGTGGTGGAAGGGGACACAACAGCAGTATGACTGGGGACTAGAAAGCAAGTTCAGTGGCGATAGGGGACGCGGTGACCCCAGAGGCCGCTGCAGGAGCTCGCTGTGGGGTCACACCAAGGAGCCACCTGTTGACACTGTGGAACTTATCAGAATACGGAGCACAGGCACCTTCAGGACTTGGGGGGAGAAGGAGCTGAAGAGAAAAATTAGTTAGGGGCCCAAGAAGCAGTTAGAGCTCCTGGTTCTCTTCTTTCTCCCCCATAGAAGCCACCTCCCTTCCCCACGCTGGCTGGCCTGGGGGCACATTCTCTGGAAGGCGTAGAATAGAGGGTCTCCGGATCCCAGGCACCACTGAGGGCTGGGCGAAAATCTTCAAGTCAGGGTGCGAGGTGAAAGGTTCTGAGTGTTGAGACTCTTAGCCATCTTTCTCCCTTTGGCTCTCGGCCTTCTGTCTTCCCTGCAAGACTAGAAGAGCCCTTTCCAGACAGATCTGAAAAGACCAGGAGAAAAGTCTACGGCCATACCACCCTGAACGTGCCCGATCTCATCTGATCTCGGAAATTAAGCAGCGTCGGGCCTGGTTAGTACTTGGATGGGAGAAATAGGGAGATGCTGATACTGGAGGGGAGGGGTAAACCCCCAACCAAATGCCCCAGCGGAGCTCCAGGAGAGAACCGTCAGTAAGCCCTCAACTTGCAGGGAACTTTTGGTCAGTTTTTCAGGTTCTCCCTGTAGGATTAGTGGACAGACAGGATTCTATATGACTGAGAAGTAAAAGCAGAGAAGAAAAAGCATATCGAGTGAAACATCATTGAGAGAGAAGAAAGTTCCCAGGAAAAAAATTATCCATATCTCAGAAGGAAAACAGATATCTTCGCCATAAAACAAGATTTTTTAAAATCCAGAGAACAAAGAACTCATGGAAATTAAGGCCATGATCGAAGTTTTCCGAAAAATTTATTGAAAAGTTAAAAGAAAAAAATAAGGAAATCAGATATAAAGTGAAACAAAAAGAAAAATGGAGGGTTAGAGAAAAAAACAGTGAAAATGAGAGGACTGGACCATGACGTTGGACCTCTGCGTGACAAGTGCCAGGAAGAGAACACGGGTAATCGGAGAGCATCAGAGAAGTCGTTCAAGGGAAGAGACTACAGCTGAAGACAGTGTGTTACTGGTTGTGCCCACGCGAGTCACCTGTGTGGCATTAGCCAGCGGCCTGGCCTCAGCCAAGTCCCTCCTCGTGTTCTGGTGTCCAAGATGGGGACAGTACGCTCTCACTTGCGTGGGGTGGTTGGGAGTTTTTCCTGCTCCCATCACAGACAGTGATGTGGGGGCGTTAGCACAAACCCTCCCATCAGCCTGCCCGGGAAGGCCGTGTCCTGGGCACCCCAAAAGAGGCGTGGGTGACAGCGGCCGAGGAGACAGAGGGCAGGGGAGGGGACGCCCCAGCTGATGGGGGGGAGGGAGTGCGGTTGAACCCTGTCCCCCCCCCCCACCTGCTGTGGGGGCAGGGACAGGAGACGCACGGGGTTGTTGCAGCTGTGCGGAGCTGGCACGCCTCTCACCATCCCTGCCCGTCCTGGCCACACGGACAGGAAAGGTGCTGCTGGGATGACTCACCCGTGTTCCTGACCCCTGTCTGGATGCATGTGCTGATTCCCACAAGACGTGAGGCATCTGTGAAGGCCGCATGTGGCGGTGACAAGCAGGCCGGTGGCCCCTCCCTGCTGCCTCATTGCCCCCCCCCCCCCCCCCCCGGGACTACGTTTGTGTTTCCAGGGGCAGCACTGCTTGAGTGTGTCTCTGGGTTGGAGATTATGGTGTTTGCTCCTCTTGGTCCAGACCAGTAGATTTAGAATATTTTCTGGGCTCTGTGAAGTCCAGAAAGGACCCTTGATTTTGGGGTTGGTTGGTTTTCCTCTCTGGATTTGTGCTGTCCACTATGGCAGCCACTAGCCATAGGTGACTTTTTAAGTTCAAATTAGGTATAATTAAATAAACATTGAAACCAAGTTCCTCAATCACATGCGTCATGTGTCAAGAGCCCGGTCAGCCTGTGGGCCGCTGGCTGCCGTGTTAGAGGACAGAACCTTCCACCCAGCAGCAAGGTCCTTCGAACTGGAAACCTCGCTGCTCGGAGGTCGGTGGCCATGGGGAAGGGGCTTCCGAGTGCACAGGAGAAAGGTGAGTGGCGAACAATGAAAAATAAGCTGTCGCTGGTTTTACCTTGTGTTCTTCCCATGGTAAAACACTTCTCGAACGAAGTAAATTCTTACTTCAGGGGATGACATCAGGTTCCCTGGGTTGCCACGTTCCATTGGAAGGTTGTCCCCAGAGCGCTGTCAACGATTGGGTCACTCGTCACCTTTCAGCACATTGTCAGGGACACAAGATGCTCGGTGCTTCGCCAAGTAATGGCTCCTTCCCACCCGACTTCACGCTCTTATGGAAGGTCCCAATAGGAAAAGTGCGGGATTAGAAACTCTTATAGCAACGTGTGACTTCTGAGTTCATGGGAAAGAGAATTCTCACCACTGTTGGTTTGCCATTTGTCATTCAAGAAAAGAAAAAAGAAACCCTCGGCTGAAGCAGATGCTTCTCTGGATTGTCTGCCACAAGCTCTTCTGTTCCCCCGGTGGCGTCTCAACGGCAGAGCCAGGCCTGGGAGACCGAGGGAGGCACTGGGGTGCCGCCGACCCTGCGCTCGCGCAGGCCCGTGGGAGTGTCCTGAAATGTTGCATCCTGGGCCCCCGGTTTGTCACTTTAGCTCCAGGCTGGCTCTCTTTGGGCCCATTTACCATCACGGGTGGGCTCGCCGCGTGGGTGCAGGGATCGCAGAACTGCACGCACCTCCCACGACACCTGCAGCCTCACGCTGCGTCCGTCCCTCCCCACCTGCCAGAGTCCCTCAGGCGGGGCTGTGCCTACCTCGTTGCTCTTTGTAAACCTGGCGGAGAGGGGAGCGCAGATAAGTGTCTAAAGGGTCTGTGAGCAAATCAGTCTGTCTGGGACCAGCCCTTTCGACTTGGAGTCAGGCATTTCCGTGAACAGTTCAGAGGGTGCCCTGCATGGCCCCCTCCCAGCCCCACATTTCTGCACAGCAGAGTTTCTCTAGGCCCAAGGGGAGCCCAGAGTCCTCTTGTCACCATGGCGATGGGTGGGTGCCATTCCTCCCCCCCCCCCCACTCCCGGGGTATTCTGTCAGTTTCAAAGTCGGGGGAGTTCCCATGCTAGGAAGCTCCGAGTATGGTTCTCCTTAAAGTGGGAAATGAGCTTACATTATGGGTAGAACTGCATTTTGTTCAAATGTGGTGAAAATGTTTCTGTATATTGTTACTTCCTCCTGAAATTGGTTTGGGGGTAAGTCTTAGGTGTCTCTCTCCCCTGAGCTCACATCTTAGAAGGCCTTTTGTACTGGCTTTGCCCTCTTTCTTCCCAAGGTGGAGAATGTTTGCATGAGATAATAAACAAGTTCACTCTTGCCCACAAGAGCAGCAAAATCTCTGCCTCCTCCAGAGTCCAGGACACAGGTCCCAGGTCCCGGGCTGTCCCGGGAGCACATGGTGGGGCCTGGCTGCCGAGATCCGGGGATGAAGGGGGTAAAGAAGCAGGTGCCTGGGGCTCGGAGGCCCCTGCGTGAACTCTCTGACCTGCTCCCTTCCCTTCCTGCCTCCCACAGAACGTGCTGAAGAAGAGGGACCAAGTGCAAGCAGAGTACGAGGCCAAGCTGGAAGCCGTGGCCCTGAGAAAGGAAGACCGCCCCAAGGTGAGGGAAGGCCCCCGGGGAGGGCGGGCGCCCGGGGCTGCGGTCCCCCTGTGCAGCCGCGTGGCTCTTGTCCCGAGACACAACACAAGCACGACCGAGGTGCTCTGTGCCAGCCGGCGCATGCCGACGCTGTCCCCCTTTTTGTTCCCTTTAAGTCTTATTTCTGGGGGTTCCCAGTGTGCACTGGGGGTGAGCTTTCTGCTGTTTCCTGGATTTGATTCTTTTTTAAGACTCCCAGCTGTTACTTGCAGGCAGTTCCTCTTGCCGTGACACGGGGTTTTGGAGAAAGCGGGAGGACGGTCTAGATCAGGGCTCTCGGACGCGCGGTCTGTGACCAACCTGTAGCGGGAGAGGCACAGCAGCTGAGAGGGGGCAGCTTGCACGAGCTCAGCTCCCAGGACGAGTGTGTCCAACCAGCGTGGAGAGTTGCACGTGGAGCAAGCTGCACGCCTGTTGTGCACAGTAGGACTGCAGCTGGGTCAGCCGGGGCAGGCGGGGGGGGGGGGGAGAAGCCAACAAAGCTGGCCCTTCACCCCCCAGTCTGAGCACTGACCTAGCTCACGACACCCTCCCCCTCCAGTGCCCGGGGTCCAGACGCGGATGACAGCCGTAGATGGAGGATGAAGGTGTCGGTGGCCTCGGTCACTCCCACGGGCTGCCTGTCACTTCCCCCAGCCAGCCAGGGCCGACAACGGGAGTGACGATGCAGGTGCTGACAGTGCGCTCAGCACTTTACACTTGTGTCACTCACGTTATTCCGCAGAGCCAGCCCACGGCGCAGCTGCCCTCTTTATTCCCAGGGGGCCTGAGGTCACAGGGTGAGCAGGCACTTGACCTTGCCGGCTCTCCTGCGGCTCCTCCACTCCCCTTTGTGATTGGAAGGTGTATCTGTTCTCGAAAAGGGGGTGGGCCGGGGAGTGTCATTACCAAGATCAATGCAGGGCCCACACTTCAGGGGAGTAGTTTACACAAGAGCTGCCTGGTTTTGCTCACCTGCCTGGCTTCTCGTGGCTGCTGCCGAGCTGAGCTACACCTAGAAAGGAGCAGGCTTTGGGAACCTGAAACCCAGACCTCGGCAATGGCACGCCTTGACTCCGCGTGGGACCTTTATGTCCTGACTGCTTCACCCGGTCACCGCGGCAGTCACCCGAGGCCCTGAGGGAAGGCACTGTGCTTTCCCCAGGTCGTGGGTGAGGAGACAGGGCACAAAGCAGCTCATCAAATGGCCTGGTTTTGTTGATGCCAGAGGTCTCTCTCCAGTGTGCTTGACCCGGCAGGCACACGGTGCACTTGTCACCTCGTGTCCTCTGACGCCCGTAGCGTCCACACAAGAGAGTGAAGGCTGCGTGCGTTCTGCAGAGTCAGATGACAAAGACTGGGGCTGCTGTCACTGGCGCAGAGTTTGCAGCTGGAACGTGGCCAGGGAGCCAGGCCCCTGTTCCCTCCTGCGTGTCCCGAGGGAGGAGATGACAGAAGTACAGCTGTGTGTGTGGCGGCCCTCTGTCCCCCAGCTGCCTGCCCTGGTGACCAGGCTGGCTGCCCCATTACTGTCCGGAGCACGGTGCCGTCTCTGTGTGTGAAGCCCAGGTCTCGGTCTCATTCAAATGGATGGCGTGGAATACCGTGTGTCTATGTTTCATATTATCATGCTCACGATTTAGCTCCCAGGTATAAATATAGATGTCACTATTCCTGGCTAGGGAGGGAAGGAGCGATGACATACATGTTCTGCTGCTGGCCCAGTTGGGAAGCAGCGGGTCCTGTATCTAAAAGATGTCACCTCAGTCGTTCTGTCAGCACTTGTGCCTGCTCAGCTGCGAACACCAGCTTTCTCAGAGGAGATAGTGTCACTTCATGCATGTTCAGCCCTGTCTGGGACAGCTGGTCTGCAAAGACAGGAGCTGAAGAACGTGAATAATACGCCGATTAAATCTGTACTCTGCCCTGGCTGCTGGCTGCCTGCAGTTCATACCCGCCTTGGGGCAGACGGTGTGGAGGGAGCACCGGTTGGGGGCTCCCTGCTGCGGGGGGCTCCCGCCTCCTGCTCTCTGCTCCTCGCTGGCCTGGGTGACTTCTCTTCTCTACCCTGTGGGCGTTCACATTGTCCCGCTGCTGCTGTCCTCACATCCCTGGAGCATCACCCATTCTCTTGGCCACAGGAGTTCTTACAAGAAAAGCAGGTTTCTTTCCTGCCCATGAGACGAACCGGTAGGTTCCGGGCACAGCTGCATTCCCTCAGCACGCCACCGTGGGCGGGCGGTCTGAGCCTCCCCTCGTTCTGGTGGGGTCCTGAGCCTTGCCAAAGCTCATTTTGTTGCCTACGAAGCACTCGTGATTTTCAGTGACAAAGCAGGGGCTGTTATGATGGCGGTTGTAACAGTGGGGGCAGCAGAAACTGTACCCCCAGTTTAGCATCTGGGGCAGCAGCTCCTCTGGGGGGCAGGGGAGGGCTCCATTATCAGGCTGTCCGAGTCGCCTGAGTTCTGGGGGAAAGAACACAGGATTTAGAGTCAGATGGCCCGGGCTTCAAGTCCCAGCTCTGCCCCCGCCCCCACCGGCTTGGACTGGTTTGCTCCTCGGTGTCTGTGGGTTCAGACGTGCACTGCCGTGAGGACGGCAAGGTGGGCCGAGTGCCGGATGCGGTCACGGTGGCGCCACCAGCGGAGCCTCTGCTTCCCACTCGAGTTCCATGGTCACTAGCAGGAACGCCAAATATGTGTTCTGAGTCGGCAGGCCCTTATGATTTATGCGCTTTGTCCGAACATAGTATTTTAGACATTATTTCTTTGTGTCCTAAAGCTTCTCCTGCTTCCGCACACCTCCCAACCGCCTCTCCTCCCAGACCACCCGTCCGCGGCAGACAGACACCTGGGAAACGAACAGCTTGTGCTGTCCCCACGCTTTCTTTCCCGTGGTTTTGAGCTCCACCTTCCAGAGCCACTGTGGGGGCGAAAGCCCCATTTGATTTGCCCCGAGGACTGGATGAGCTCTGCTCTTGGTAACCTTTCGTGGGAGCAACACTGTGTCCAGGCGCAGCACCAGGATGAGGGAAGGAGAGTGAAGGTGGGCGGTTTTCACAGGGACGGTCCCGGTCTGGACGCCTTAACAGAAGATCTGAGAGGGCTGGGGCCTTCCCTTGTTTTGGGAGGTGGAATCTGGGAATGTTGATATCTGTGAAACAACAGAGTAGTAGCAAAATCTGAGCACTTCTCCGTAACCCAGAAGAAGGAAGCTGAGGTGAGCAGCCTGGCTGCCCCTCCCACAGCAGCGGGTGGGGGGGCAGCTCGCCCCGCCTTTCACCCTGAGGCATGTGGCCCAGAGGCTCCCATCTTGCATTGCTTCTGTTGTTGGTCCTGGCACCTGTCCACTGCAGCCGTGAACCCCTTTCCTGCAGGTTTGGGGATCCCGCCTGCCTTATAGAATCTTTGGGGACTTTTAAAACCTGCTGTCAGCATGGGAGCAGATGACGGGACATCTCCAGCCTGGTTCCAAGAAGGAAACTTGGGTGGAGGTATTGTAGGACCTAGAAATGCCCAGTGTGTGGGAAGAGCTAAGTAACACATTTTTAAGTGAATGTTGAATGAGTTTTTGTTACCACCCTGCTTCCCAACACACAAAAATGCTTAATTTAACCCCCTAGGGCCCCTCTCCCATCACTTCAACAGCCCGCATTCCGTAGTGCGCGTTCTCATGAGAGATAGGGGAACCGAAGAGAAAACAGCAAGCTTTTGTTCTCTGCTTCGTCGGAGTTGCTGTCTTTTGAGTCTAAGCTGGTGATACATTTTGCTTCTTGGTGGCTGGTGATAAGCAACATCCAGCCACTGGCATCAGATGTTGCCATCCCAACACCCTTCAGATACAGATACTGTAGCATGGCTCTAACAATGCCTCAGTCACCAAATCCAGACACAGAGGCCTCTGCTCGGTGGACTGATTGTCACGGAAAGACCATCCAGGGAGAAACAAACCCAGGAGGAATGTGATGCTGGGCGTCTGGTGCCGGCAGCCCTCCTCTTCGTAAAATTGGGCAACTTCAGTAGCTGGTCATTTCTGACAGCTCACCCCAGTTCCTCTTATTCTGTCCTGTTTAAACCCTCCCCCTTTCCTACGCACCCTGTTCCCATGTATCTCTGGCTCTGCTGTGTCTGACTCATTCACTTCTGCTTCCCGGCCCATCTTTCTTAGTGACGTTTGCCGACTCCTTTATTAATCCCACACGTGGAGGCTTCTCCCTGAGTTCTGCCCATCACCCCTCCCTTCCTCAGCCCCCTCTTCTCTTCCCCCATACGTTAAGCACATTTTAATCATGGCAAAGCACACACACATAAAACTTATCATCCGAACCACTTTCAAGTGTATGTACAGGTCACGTGCATTTCGTAAACTCACAGCGTCGTGCGACCAATCTCTAGAACTCTTCATCTTGCAGAACTGAAACTCTGCACTGGTTACACAGCCACTCCACCTCGCCCCTCCCTCTGGCCCCCCGCGGCCACCCTTCTGCTTTCTGTCTCTATGAATTTGACCACTCTAGGCAGGTTTTTCATATCAGTGCAACTACACAGTCTTTGTCATTTTGTGACTGGCTTATTTCACTTAGCACAGTGTCCTTAAGGTACGTCCATGGGGGAGCAAGTGTCAAAGTTTCCTTCCTTCCTTAAGGCTGGACAATACTCCGTTGTGTGTGAAGGCCATGTTTTGCTTACCCACTTGTCTGTGGATGGACACTTGAGTTGCTTCCACCTTTCGGCCAATGCTTCTTACTTTCTGGGGTTTTATTTTGTTTTGTTTTTTAATAACCATCCTAGCAGGTATGAGGTGGTTATCTCACTGTGGTTTTGACTTGCATCTCCATAATGACTCCCGGTGCAGAGGCCTCTTTCATGTGCTTGTTAGCCATTTGTCTTGTTTTCCTTGAAGAGATGTCTAGCCACGTCCTTCGCTCACTTTAAAATCGGGTCATTTTATGGTTGTCGAGTTGCTTCGGGCCCCTCCTGTGGAGGGAAGGCCTTGCCCTCTCCCATGGCTGCAGCTGCTGTACCTCCTCTACCTGATCCATGGGCCTGTCCTTCATCCTGTGGATGTCCTCGTCGCCTGGACAAGCAATGGCAGGCCCTGCCCTGACTTTCTAGACCTTCTGTCTCAGCTCAGCTGTGCCCTGATCTGTCAGTTCTGTCTCCTCCAGCTTGGTCTGATCTCCCCTATCCCTCTGGGTGTTACGGCCGCCGCCCTGGCCCCAGGGCGCCCAGGGCAACCTCAGGACAGTCGAGTTTGGTGTTGACTCATCTCTGATCTCTGGTGAAACCTTGGGTGGGGTTGCAGGGGTGAGGAGCGGCGTGCAGTTTAAAAGGATCTATTTTGATTGTAATAGTGTATATTTGGAAAACAAAAAAGTGGCCTCTTTTTACAAGATGTAGAATAAAGCACAATAAAATATTCTCACCTGAGGAGTTCTGCAAATGATAGATTATCTTTCATGACCTTGGCTTTGTTTATAATATTGATACTGACCAGAACTAACAAATGTTTGTTGAGTATTTAACATACACCAGGCACCCGTGCTTGAAGCATTCAACCTCATTTAACCTCATAACGACCTTGTCGGCGGATAGTATTATCCAGAAAAAGAAGCTGAGGCGGAGGGAGGCCCAGAGTCACCCATCCGGTCAGTGGGAGGTGTGGCGTTTAAACTCTGAAACTCTGGCTCCGTGTCGGTCTATACCAGTGGTTCTCAACCAGTGTGCGGCAAAAAATTTTAAGACATGCAATACCTGAGTATGTATTTAGTCAAGGGCACTGACCTCTTTTCTCTTAGATTGTCAAATTAAAAAATGGCAACATCCAATACATCAGTAGCAGTTCGGAGTGAACGTATCTAAATTATACCTATTTTTTTCATCAGATCGGCAAAATATATAACAATCTCTGGTGGGCTGCAGAGTTTTAGTAATTAGGGTAAGTGTGCCATGCGATGAAAATGGCTGGACAATCGCTGGTCTGTATACCTGGAGGAAGTGCGAGGCATTTCTCTGCCCCAGGAAGGGGCGTGAGGTGGATCGGAACAGCCGGCCTTCAGGCCGGTCCCCGGCTTCCCACCCTCTGGGCACACCCCTCCCCCCAGTGCCGCCCCCGGAGTCTCTGTCTGAGCCTTGGTGAGCACTATGGCCTGTGAGCTGCTCCTGAGGTGGTCTAGGTGCCGTGTCACTTCTGCCACTTGCACGTGCCGTCCCTCTGGAGCGCCCGCTCCCTCAGCGTCACACGTGCCACTGCTGTCGTCCCTGGAGTCGCCTCAGTGGTGGTGCTTCTCCCAGGAAGCCAGGCCCCGCACCCCAGCTGGGCTCCGTCTCCAGTCCCGCCGCCCAGCGCGCCCAGCACGGGGCTCAGAGCGGAGCGGAAGCATCCTGCCAGTGACTGCCCAGGCAGGTTCATTTTCTTCCCAGAGAGACCAGGCCCGGGCACTTGGGTGTCCCTCCGTGCCAAGTGTTGGGTGTGCCGTGAAAATGACGGGCACAAAAACATTTCCCAAAGCCAAACTCAAGCAATCATAAAATCCAGAGCTGTAGCTCTGACTCCTAATTTTTGTGGGTCAACAAGAAAAAAAGCATCCATCCTTTTAAGAACGCTCCCCTTCCCACATAAGGACTCCCCTGAATCAGAGAGCCTCACTGACCGCTTCTCCCTGTGCCAGCCCGCCCCCCTGTCCCCCACCAGGTTCTCTTTTCAGAGCTTCGCACTCCCTCTTTGCAGACGCAGTGCGGTGAGGGAGACAGGAAGTCGCTCCCAGGCACTCACCCACCGGGTGCTAAAATGAGCCGGGCCCCAGGCGAGGAGTAAGGGAGCGTAGACTTGCCTGCAGGGAGGTGAGGCCTGGCCAGAGCCCCTGGCTCACTGCACGTCCCTTGAGGCCAGTTGGCTGGACGTTTGTGGAGGGGAGGCGGGGGCGCCCGGGAGCAGCCCAGCCAGGGCACTCCTGTGTTATTTCACTTGCCCCCAAGGTGGCCAACAGCAGTGGGTGAATCAGCAGGGAGAGGCCAGAGAGGTCTCGGTCAGGGCATCCAAAGTAAAAGCCAGGTAGTTCTTAAATATTTTGTTTATTTGTTTATTTATAGAGAGAGGGGAAGGGGAGGAGAATGAGAGGGAGAGAGACACTGATTGGTCCCCTTTCACACCCCCCCCAATGGGGGACCTGGCCTGCAACCCAGGCGTGTGCCCTGGCCCGGAATCGAACCTGTGACCTTTTAGTTTGCAGGATGACGCCCAACTCACTGAACTACACCAGTCAGGGCTGAAGTATTGTTTTGTTTTGATCCCAGAAGCTTAAGTGCTTTGCAGAAGCCTCCTTTCCCCCATAGAAGGAAAGTTTCTCTCTTTTCAGGCTGCCTAGGGTGCCTCGCCAGCTCTTTCTCTCCCACTTTCCTTGTCTCACAAAGGCGAGCCCCCCTGCCAGGCACGTTTGACCCCTTCCCCTCGGCTGCTTCCTGTTCTTCCCTCCCGTGTGCCACAACCACCTCGGAACGATCTGCGTGGCCGAGCAGATGGCCAGTGCCCTCGGCCTTAGAAGCCCCGAAGCTGTCCAGCTCCCTCAGGCTTGACCTCACCATTACTGGTGTTCCTGAGTTGACTCCGTGCCCATCAGACCTGGGTACAAAACCTCCCAGGTGGGTGGAGATGGACCCGGAAGCTGTCTCCACAGCTTGGAGACGTCAGGGCTCACAGGACCCGGCACACAGCAGGTACAAGGCCTGATTGTTGTTGGGAAGTGTCTGGCAGGTGGGCGTTGCCCCAGCTTCAGGCACGTTGGCCTCTAGTGACCATCAGGGCCCAGTGAGGAGCCCTGGACTCGGGAGAGAAGCGAGCTTTGTGCTTCGGCAACCGGGGTGATAATTTCCCATCACCTTTCGTAGCATTGCATGCTCTCTGTCTGGATGTGTAGGATGCACGGAGACCCATCAAAGCAAAATGAAAGTTGCGAAATTCAGGTGACACCGTTCCATTTTGAAAAAGTCCCCTATAAGGCAAAGTTGAAAACTGAAATAAGCCAGGCAGTGAGGGACAAATACCGTATGATCTCACCTTTAACTGGACCGTAATCAACAAAAGGAAAAAGCAAACAAAATATAACCAGAGACATTGAAATTAAGAACAATCTAACAATAGCCAGAGGGGAGGGGGAGGGGACAGTGGGGAGAAGGGTTTTCAGGAACTGCTATAAAGGACACATGGACAAACCCAAGGGGGAGGGAGGTGGATTTGGATGGGGTGGTGGGGAGAAAATGCAGACAACTGTAATTGAACAACAATAAAGTAATTTATATATTTTTTAAAAGTCGAAATAGCCTGCTACATTTCTCTTTTTTTTTGGGGGGGGGACACACAAATAAATATAGATATGTATTTTGACATACACACATCTCTTAGTTCCCCAGAATTGCCTGACTTTCACTCTTCATTGTTGGCAATCTGCTATCTTGGGGAGCACGGACAAGTCTCCAGATTATCTGTAATGTGGGGTTCAGGGGAGGGAGTCGGCCCATCGTCTGGTCATTGCAGTCAGTTCTCTGATTCATGAGGGTAGACATCACCCAAATCAGAGGTGATGCAATAGTTCACATGATGACGGGAAAACCTTTTCTACTTTCAGTATTGGACACAGGAGGCCAGTGGGCCATTTTGCCGAATATTTGCAAAATCTACATAGATGGTCATGTTTTAAAAAAGGAACCAAAGACATGTGCCTCCGAATGCAAGGTTTCTTCTTCCTGCTTGCAAATGGAGAGGGGGTTCCCCCACGAGTCTCTGTTGTGCTTGGGTGGGTTTGAGGGTTTGGGTCGGGGTGGTCTGCTTCAGAATTCCTTCTTAGACCTGAAAACAATGGGCTCCACCTTCAAGTAAAGGCCTGCAGAGGAGAAAGCGTGTCTGGGGCATTGCAGTGCAGTAATCCGGCCCGTCATGAACGTGCGAGCTGAGTGGTTCCAGGCAGGAGAAGCCAGCCGCACGTACAGGGCCCCCACTTCTGCGTCCCCCTTCCAGGTGCCCGCGGACGTTGAGAAATGCCAGGATCGGATGGAGTGTTTCAATGCTGATCTGAAAGCCGACATGGAAAGGTGGCAGAACAACAAGAGGCAGGACTTCCGGCAGCTGCTCATGGGCATGGCCGACAAGAACATCCAGTACTACGAGAAGGTGATGTGCACGCCGACCAGACCCCGGCCCCCTTGTTAAGGAAGCATTTCCAACGGCCAGAGCCTTTCCGAAGGGCCTGGCAGAAACCCAGAAGCCGGGCCCCTGCCAGTCCCAGCCCTTGTTGTCTGTTTACTCCTCGCAGCCCCTGCCCGTCTCGGCCCAGCTGCGCTTGATGCGGTGCTGGTGTCTCGGGCTCAGTCAGTGCTGATGGAAGCAGTTTTACCTTCTTGCCCTTTGGTCCTGGCCGTCAGCTGCTTCCCAGAATCAACCTGGCCTTCAGTGCAGGGATGCCCCCATTTGATGGAGGTTTGGGGGCTACATTAATGCCATTAGGGGTTACTTAAATGGAGGCTTTGGGCTTACAGCTTAAAGTGACCCCTGTTGTGGTTCTGCATTCCAGGGCCCTTCACTGGTGTTGTGCTGTGGATCGCTTTGGCAATCTGGTAGAGGCTGTAGACCGCGTATTAAAATGCTGTTTGTTCTCTAGAAATAGACTTTAAAATGATGCTTTTAAATGCCTAAAATAAAGGCATGTGGGATCAAAAAGGAAAGCTATTAAAACAGCTTTTTTTTTTCCTTGAATTCCCAAATCCCACAAATAGGATCACTGTCTTGGAGCCTCGTTTGGCTCCTTCCTACAGTTAACAAAGCTTTGTGCGTATGTGCCGTGTGCCGGGGATGGCACACACGAGTGAACAAGGCAGGGCTCCCACCACGAAGGAGCCCTCGGTCTAGTGCAGGCTACCCACTGATACAATAATCCCACCTCTGCAGAGTGAAGGGAAGAGCAGGAAACTGGGACAGAGCACTAGGGGGCATAATTCAGATTCCAGGTGGGTGGGAGGGGGCAAGTGGAGTGGGCAGGAAAGGCCAAACTGAGGAAACTACGTTTGATCTGATTCCCAGAAGCAAAGGCTTGGGGACTAAGTATTTCAGGCAGAGGGAGCAGCGACCTACGCCAGGGTCCCAAGATAGGAAAAGCATTTGAGGACCAAAAGGAAAGCTGGTGTGGCCTTGGTTCCCCATCTCGGACACAGAAGGACCCTTCCAGGTCCGAGATGGTGGCCGAGGGAGAGAGCAGGACCCAGAGTGCCTTGGCCCCCACCCTGGGTCCCTGGCCGAAAGCCAGCCCCTTGAATCTCCCCAGGCTCCCATATGCAGGGCAGGGTCTCAGTCCAGCTTCTCCAACCTCAGAGTCACTGGGAAGGAGAAACCCGGAGCGATTTCACCTCTCCTCCCTCCCTGCTTAACCCGTGGATGCCTCTCTCCTCCCACCTCCTCCTTCCCGGTGACTCACGCAGAGTCCTGCTTCACCCCGGGGGCGGCTCCTAGCCTGTGCGTTTCCTCTGTCCTTCCCTCTTCGCAAAAGGCTTCTCAAGGGGAGACTCAGTTCTTGCTCAGCAGGCTCTGAGAGGACAGCGCCAGAGCCCTCTGCGTCCTTGGCCCTTCACAGGGATCTGGGATGACAGTGGACCCGTAGAGCAGAGAAACACTTGTTTGGGAATCACGAGCCTTTTTAATGACACCATCTTTTATTACAACATCATAAGCATGTAATTCTGTAACACAACAACATCACACTCGGGTGCCCCATATGGCATTTTAGGTGAAATGTTCACATTAAAACTATGGAGATTACACCCCTACCATTCCCCTCCCAACCACACTCAAGCAGGCCTGACTTCTGCCGGACCCTGTACGTAACAGTGTTTGGACATAATGAAACAATAAACACAGAGGCCCCCCCTCCATCTTCCCTTTGGGGAGACCCAGGAGGAGCCCATGCAAGCAAAGGTGAGGTTGGTGAGGAAAAGCAGGTTTCCACCCCCTCAGAGTCAGGTGGTTGACTCATTCCACTATGATTTACAGCCTTACACAAGCACCACCCGCACCTGGGGCCGTGTCTCCGTCCTGGCTGAGAACCTAGGGCCTCATCGGGTTTGCTGCCTGGTCTCCTCTCAGCTCTTGGAAGGGAAACAGTTCCTCTTGGCAACCCCATCTCCATTCACCGGCCATGAGCGTTCAGCACAGACAGTGAGCTTAGGCCCCGTGCAGACGCTGTGACCTTTTGTGCACGTAGGGTGATGTGTTCAAAACCAACGCCCGTTGCCCCCCCTCCCCCCCCATCCCCAGTGGTTGTGGATCAGGCGCGTGGGTGTCAATCAAAGGCGACCCAGCAGGAATGGCAGGACTAGAGCAGAGTTAGGGCACTGACCCCGAAACCTGAAACTGGCTGCTGATAGCGGGCACCCACGTTGTTGTTTCAGTGCCTCACGGCGTGGGAGTCGATCATTCCACTGCTGCAGGAGAAGCCGGAGGCCAAGTGAGCACCTCCTGGGGACGGAGGCTCCTCGACCTACACAGGGCACGGCGCCCCATCCCGGAACGTCCCTGCCGTGCCAGCGCGGTGGCACTGAGAAAACAACTGCGGGAACATCTCTCCTCGCGTGTTTCTTTCCCATCCCCACCTGCCTTTGTCTGACAGATGTTTTTAATTGGTATTTATTCCTCGGTGGAGCCCGGAGGGCGGTGGTCATCTCAGCCGAAGCAGCGAACCTTCCCTGCTGTGAAGGGACCTGTGACGTGGAAGATCCCACGGTGAGGGAAACCTCATTGCGGTTTCCTGTTTTGCGACATTGGACTTAGCGGCCTGTCGTGGGAGAGAACCGGGGTCCTGCTTTCCGGGGACACGAGGAAGGAAGGCACAGACAGAAGGCCACCCTGGCTTTGCAAGGCTGCACGGCAGCTCCGGGCCCGACGTCTCTGGGCATCGACACGTCTCGGCCCAGCAGGAGGTGTGGGCCCCTCCCTGGAAGGTCCTTCATGTACAGTGGCCTGTAGCCGTGAGCACGGCCTGCGGCCTGCATGTGATGGGCGACACCTCTTTTACGGTTCCTGTTTCAGACGGGACCATTGAAACCGGTGCCTGCGTGCATCCGTGCCAGAGCGCCCAGCGTCCTGGTCCTCGTGCGGAGCCTGGGGACCGCACTCCCTGAACTTGGTTCTGACACTAGAATGAGCTAGATCGGAAACTCTTTGTATGTAAAATGAAAAAAAAAGGTGCGTTTTTTTTCTCTGTGACGTTCTTCCATGTTTTTCTTTTGCTTGTGAGCTGTCAGCGGCCTGGAGAGCAGGCCTGTCGGGGAGTAGTAGCTGGCGACCCGAAGGCGGGTCCCTCCCCGGCGGCTGCAATCACTGGGCAGATGCCAGGCCCGCTGCCCGCGTCTGCTTTGCGCAATGGCCGTTACCTCACCAAAAATTCCTAGTTTAATGTTTGATCTCTTGCCCCCTGAGTGTTTGGGCCATCTTGTGGTGAGAAGGTGGCCTGTCCTTGCGACACAGTTGAAATTTTGTGAGCTCAGTGCGGATGGCCTGCGTGAGGTGCTTTAACCAGCACCGGCGTCTGATCAGAGAGAAGTCTGTGGCTGGCGTGGCCTCCAAGGTGACGCGAGCAGCAGTGAACCCCCCTCCCAGCTGAGCTGGCGCCCACGTGCAGCGGGTTCCCTGGGGGCCACTGGCTGCATCTCGAGTCCTGGTCTCCAACTGCTACCAGGTTTGCTTTTCAAATGGACAGAAACACGAGCAGACAAAGAAGGAACTCTTTTTTTTTCTCTTCTCCTGAAACAAAGCTCTGTGTGTCGCTTTTGTATTCTTTCATGGGTGGCTCATCCCTATAAAATTATAAATCTCAAGTAAGTGATAGCATTTTTTTAAAAAACGGAACAGCTGTGCTGAGACCCTGCTGCCTGTGGAAGTTAATCGGCGAACAGTGGCCAGTGTGCAGTGGGCTGAGGTCGCTTTGTTCCGCTCCCGACATCAGACTTGGCAGACGTGACGGCCACGGCTGTGTGGCCGCTGGGGCAGCGGTCGGACGGACGGACAGCACGGACCAGCTCGGTTCTGTTTCCTCACGTCTGAAAAAGTCACAGTTTAAGTCACGATTTTCACGTCAGTGGGTACTTGACTGCACTGTTAGAGCCCCTCTGTGCCATCCTAAACCCTTCGATGTGAATTCTCAGTTTGGTACGATTAGCAATGATTCACTGAAGGAGACACGTAGGAACAGCCCATCCACCCGAGGGGCGATTCAGCGTTTCTTTCTACCTCTAAGCCATCACGCTGGTGTGGGCAGGAACGCCCAGGGCCAGCCGAACTGCTTGTTGGTAGAGCCGCGGCGGGCTGCCGGCCCTCTGTTGGTATTTGGTAGAAAACACTAGACAGACCCAATAACAAATGCTCATCTTTGGGAATGTGCGAAGACTTGCCTTATGGAATACATGCTTTAAAACTGTCACCCGGTATAATGAATACTTAGATCCATGCAAGGGTCACAAGAAGACTAGACCGTAGCCTGCTGCTAGTTGCCAAAGCCCAGGGACATTCCTGTGTAAGGGTTACTTGAGAAAGAAGGCAGCCCTTCCAAAAGACATCAAGTTCATCGCTGGGGCATTTGGGGAAGGCAGCGGGGTCCACAGTCACCCCCACACATTACTGGAGGCAGAAGACTGACTCTGAAAGGATTTGGGTATCTCAGGATTCTGTCTTTCTCTCTTTGTCCCCGTGTTGGTTTAAGACGGCGGAGAGGGCTGGGGCAAGGTGTGCTGCCCTCCTGCTGCCATGGACCCCAGGGCTTGGAAAACCAGTTTGTGTGATAGACCTCCTTGGAGAGAGAGCCTAGGCTGTGGCATCTGACAAGGGAAGGCTGGACCGGAAGGAGAGAGACGGCAGGCAGTGAATGAAGGGGCTCGCTGGTCCTTCCCATGGCTCCCTCGGGCCCCTGAGGGTCAGCAGCCCCAAGCATTCTCCTCTTCGTTTCGGTCAGCACAGAAGTGATGGTTGCCCTGTGAGACGGGGAACCCGGAGACGTCGGTGCCAAAGACTGCCTCCGGAGGCTTTGTCGCCCCATCCGTCTCGGCTCCACACAGCCGTGGTGCTGAGATCCCTGACTCCTGTTTCCTACTTACTCTCTGGGAGACTTGGTCGCAGACACACCTTACCTCAGGCAGACAGACTCGGGCAGGTGTGAAGGCCCTGGCACCTGGCCGTGCAATGGAGAGGCCTCCCTGTCCACTGCCCCCAGGCCCGGGGAGTGAAAGGTTTCATTACCCAGGCTCAAAACCCAGGCTAACACAGAAGAGAGAAGTCCTAGAAACCGAGCAGATTTTAGAGAGCAAATGATGTTGAGGAGGGCGGTTGTAACTGGTCCTGATATGGACCCTGCTCTTTTTTTTTTATCATGCAGTGAGGTCAGCAAGAAGATTCCAGGCTGCTCTGCAAGGAGCCCCTGCCCCTGATGGAGGAGGAGCATCCTGCTCCACCAGGTCTGGGGTCGGGGGTCCCCCTCCAATAAGACAATAATGATTCCTGGTGAGCTCGGGTAAGTGCGGTTCTGGAGGTGATTGGCGTGCATTGCACTGAGCTGCTCCGTGAGCTCAACCAGAGACCTTTCTTTAGCTGAAATAATGAAGCCCAGCACCACACTGGGGGTTGCAGTGACTGTAGTGTGAGTTTGTCTTCATGCCAAATTCCAGCCACAGCCGGACTGTGTCCTCCACGTTGTTGAACTGAGTGTGTCTTCGCAGCCGCCGTCTGGATGAGAAAACTAAGTGTGCACTCGCTGCTCGTTTCTGGCAAGGCCGCCTTCCATTTGGGATGGAACGATGGGAAGTGCCGCCTTTTGGGGTGGGGGGTGCGTGATGGCCCCGTGGCGGTCTGCAGGTGGAGTTTCTCTCCAGACGGTATCAGTCCAAGCAACACCTGGAGTTTGTGTGCCTTGGCCCTGCCATTGATGGTATTAAAATCATGGGCACTGGCTCTGTTTTGAGGCCATTCACTGGACTGCAGAATAGCCATTGTCCACACTCTATTCTGACTGGTGCGAGAGGAGGGACAGCAAGGTGCAGAGCGACGTCTAGGTCTGTGTTGGCCTCGTGCATTCAGGTCTTGGGGTGGGTTAGAGCCAGGCTCTGCTCTGGCGGCCCCAAAAGGTGCTTCTGCTCAGAAAACGGGCCGCCCGTGGCCAGGGCATGGGCTCGGCATCCGGGAGCCCGCCTTCCTAGCCGCCTGCTTTAAAGGCCTACGGGAACCAGGTGACCTAATTCTAAGTCTGGGGGATGCTGCTGTGGTCATTCCCATTTACAAAATTATTTTGGGAGTGGGGGCTTGACCCTTACTTTCAAAAGCCCTCCAGACAGCAACAGACTGGACTTGCCCTCTCCTTATGTGTTCTCTGTGCAGATGTCAGGTGGCATTTATCAGTAAAGTTGAGGAAAATGTCATCCCCTGGGCCAGCCAAACGGAGCTGGGTGTGCTGGAGCCGTTCTCTTCCCCGTGAAGTTAAAAATTCAGTGAATAACCCAGAAACCCCATTTTGGATCAGCCCACCCCACAGCGGGTGAGCTTTCTGTTTGAAGGATGTGTGGTCTCCTCACAGCTGCACAGACCAGAGCACCGCAGGGCTGACTGTGCTAGAAAAGGTGAGCAGGGACCTCGTTACGGGGAGTCGGCCGTTCTTTCTTAATCTCGTGTGTTTGAAATGCTTCCCGCATATGGCTGTCTGCTCCTTTCTGTGGGACAGAAAATATATATATATATATACACACACATATATATATACATACATATATATACATATGTGTGTGTGTGTGTATATATATATATGTGTGTATATAGAGATATTATCCAGGTAGTTTTTACTACTGTTGACAGCCTGTAAATAAGTACTTCAAAAAAATAACTTAAACCAGTAGCTTTATTTGTCCCATACACAAATGTTCTGGGTACTTAGCACTAGAAAATCAACAAATTCAGACTTTTAAAAATGCCCCAAACTGTTCAAAGTTTAACTCTGCTTTTTGAGAATTTGTCAGCACCTATTAAAATCCTTTATTCTTCAACTACTGTTTTTTAGATTCTGGATAAAATGAGTTTTTAAAACTGTAATCAGTTGTTGCGCTTCAACACCTGAGGTCTAACGTAGCCAGTCCTTATTCCTCTTAAAGAAACAAGCGAGCCCTGGCTGGTATATAGCTCAGTGGATTGAGTGCGGGCCTGTGAACCAGAGGATCATGGTTCGATTCCCAGTCAGGGCACATGCCTGGGTTGCAGGCCAGTTCCCAGCAGGGGTCCCAAAAGAGGCAACCATACGTTGATGTTCTCTCCCTCTCTCCATTCTTTCCCCTCTAAAAATAAATAAAATTAAAAAAAAAAAGAAACAAGCGAGAAAGTGAGGTTCCCCTCACTGGGGCTGCCCTTGGGGGAGGGGAAGGCTAAGCAGTGCCATTGCCAAATGATGCTTTTGATGATGTAAGGAAACCCAGCGACCACAGACCCCTTTTTTTGTTTTAAAGAATAGAAGATTAAATTAGCACCTTTGGCACACGTTTGATTATAGAGAGTGCCTAGTGTCGGCACCGACAAATCACACAGACGCAGAGAACTCTCTAGATTCTGACGACATCGGAGGTTTGCCCTGGTTCCGCAGAGCAGAGCAGCATCTCTGCAGAGATGCCGTGGGGGCCTCAGCAGCATGTTCCAGAAAGAAATTCTCCACAGGTTGAAACGCCAAACACATACAACGTATTGCGTCGACTCACATAATTTAGTCCATTGTAACAGAGCTGTTCTACGAAAACCAGTGACTGGGTACTGCACGGGCTCCCCTCTCCCCGTGTGATCCCGGCTCCGCGTGGCCCAGGTGAGAGCAGGCAGCACCTGGGGGCACCCACCCCCGCTTGACAGGCTGGCTCACAGACGCAGACCAGACCAACCCTCGGTCCCCTACTGGAAAGAAAGGGGCGTTGCTTTCACCTCGGCGTGGAACTGGAGCGTGGTGAGAATAGGTTGCAGACCAAAATGTGAATCCGGGTGTTGAAACGATGCCTGTGTCAGCTGGGCCTTCACAGAACAGCAGCCAGCACCAGCCACCCGGACACCTCGGAGGCCGGGGCCCGCCCAGCAGACCCCTGTCCGCCCTGCTTCTGCACGCCTGCCTCCCCGTGTCCGTGAGACGGGGGTGCACTGAGAAACAGTGGGCACCCGCCGTGTTCCCGTGGAGAAAACTGCCAGCAGGCTTTCTAACTCGCATTTTAACTGTCGAAAAAGATTTTTAAAAAGTCTTTTGCTTAGGTGATGTCCGATTTATGGACTGTATTTCTCATGTTTAGAAATCATTCTTTACATTTCAAATTTTAAGAGGAAAAAACCCTTCTGAGGTGTTGATAAAGCCCTTTGCATAAATGTGTTCTCTTCTCTCCATGCTGCCACTAAGCTAAACCAAAAGCTGTGAAAATAAAAACAAATGTGTTCATGAGTGTGTGCAGGCGAGAAAGCGTTTTTATTTACAGGTCAAAGTCTTTGTCTCACAAAGCTACCAAATTTTAAAAAGAATGTCACCTTTTCTTCCTTGTTGTGCAACCCAGAGATTGTCAAAAGAAAAAAAAAGAGCTTTTGTTGCATTTTTGATGCCGGCATGAGGTTTTTGTCCACCTTCTTTTTTCATGTATCTGTGTACAGAAAATTCTGTTTGTTGTTTACTATGGGATTAGTATTACATTTTGAGGTAAACAAAAGAATTTGTATTGCTTGATAAACTGTTAGCGTGTAAATTTCCAAGGTTTCTTTACCTCAATTAACTTAAAGTACTGGACCAATAAACCTATAAAAGATGCTTTCTTTACCCGGAGTCAGGTTCTCATTTGTACCGCTGTCTGAGAGCGAAAACGTCACGCCTCTTCCTTCTTTCGTCTCCCAAGTTGGCCTGCGAGAGTCCAGGGTGTACAGTGCAACAGAAAGAACATGTCACTGAACAACTTTTACTCTTTACTTTTTTGTAGACCCCTCCTCCATCTCCCATCTCCTACAAGTTGGCACCAGTGTGGGGAGGTGAGGAAATTTCCAGTGTCCTTAGCCATACTTGACACCACGCCGGGCCGGTAGGCTTGGCAGCCAGCCGGGGAAATTCCATGAAGGATTTCCTTCTCCTCCATCCCATTGCAAAGCAGAACCAGTCATTTCCTGACTTCTTTTTGACTGCTGAGATGTGATGTAGAATCTGTAAGGAAAGAAGAAACGTCTGTGGTTCTTTAGAGCTTACAGTGCGTTGCAAAATCAGGGACCAGAATGCTTGGTTAAGTTTACCTAATGATGACAATGGACTGGAAAGGAACTTAAACTGGTGTTAAACTTGGCTTACCAATAGTAGACATCACTAATATAATGCAGCCCTACAAGGTGAGGCTGCAAGGTGGGATGAGAGAGACATCAAATTTCAGCCTTTCCACTTACTATCTGATAGACAAGTCACGTCTCTCTGAACTTCAGTGTTGTGACTTTTGAATGGAGATGTGCCCTCCCCGAGGAGTTGCCAATTGGACTGGCCATGCGGTATGCAAAGCCCCTAAGTGCCAGCTGGGCACCAATTATATATCAGCCCTTATGGGAAGACTCCTCCTATAGTTTAAATATGACCAACTTCAATACTAAGCATCTTCTAATAACAATCATTCCTGGATGCTTTGTCATTGAAAATAAAAAAGCAGGCCCTGGCTGGTGTGGCTCAGTGGATTGAGCCCCAATCTGAGAACTTAAAAGGTCACGGGTTCGATTCTGTCAGGGCACATGCCTGAGTGGCAGGCCAGGTCCCCAGTTGAGGACATGTGAGAGGCAACCATTTGATGTTTCACATATTACTGTTTCCCTCCCTCTTGTTCTCTCTTCCTCTCCTCTCTCTAAAAATAAGTAAAAATAAAATCTTTAAAAAAATAAAATTAAGAAGTGGGATATACTTTTTAAAACTGGTTTCTTTTAAGGAAGATGACAGAGGCAGTATGCTGGCGGGTTCGGTGGAAATAGATTGTAAATGTGACATGAAGTGACAGAAAGGGAGCTGGATTTAAGAGATTTTGGTGATGAAGGGGAAGAGTCGGAGATCACTGGGCGGCCTCCAGCCTGGTAGAACTATGAACTCGATCAGGAGGGAAAAAGGAAAGATGGAGTGAGTTTAGTTGGTGGGCTGGAGAAGAACACTTTGGACTGGACTTCTGTTTGTGGGAGTCGAGCTGGAGGTGTTGACTGGATGGCCTGAAGGAGAGTTCTGGAAGCCGCGGGAGTAAACTAGCTCATTTGGAAGACAACCAGAGACATGCTTTGGGAGCCTCAAGAATTCAGGATACAGGGAGAGGAGGGAGGGGACTCAGGGACAGATTTTAGGGAGGAAAATCAGGACCACAGAGCCGAACAGTGGCTCTGAAGCCTGAGCGTTTGTGAAAACACCGGTGGTTGGGCGCCACCCACAGAGTATGGTTCTGGAGGGCCGGAGAATTTGCACTTCTAACAGGTTCCCAGGGGTTGCTGATGCTGCTGGAACATCTGTTAGAGGAAATGGCGACCTGGGGAGAGTGGGAAAGGTTTGAAACCACTACTTTAGTGACAGGTGGGGTCGAACGGGAGCCATTGCAGAGGCTTTGAGAGCCCAGACCAGGTTAAACTCACAGCGAAAGTCAGGGTCCATGTGGGCAAATAAGAAAGACATTTTAGGTGCTCAGAGCAAGCTTGTAAGGAGCAGGAATGAAGCTGCCGGTGATCGGATTCGTTCGGGTCCAGGGAACTTTCAAGGGCCGGGGTGGGACAAAAGGAAGAGCATATTGGCAAGAGTTTAGACAGGAGCATGGCCTCGAACTTGCCTTTCCCATCCCACCTGCTGGGTGTGTGTGTGGCTTCTCTCAGGGAGGGGCTCTCTGCCTTCCTCCTAGTTGCCTGCAACCCAAGTCTGAGTCCTTCCCGTCTCCGTCAGCCTCACCCTCTCCAGACCATTCACTGCCACCTCCTGTTGAACTCTAGCCCCCAAATACTTCTCCAAGTCCACCTGCCGTGCTCTGTCCTCAGAGCTTCTTACCAGGTGTCAGTCCGCCATCATCCTTCACCTGGCTGACTGCAGGAGTCTCTCTGCTTCTCTCCTTTCTGCAAATCTCGCTCTCACCTTCCTCCACCAGGTCACCCCCCCCACCCGCACCGCCAGACGGCTCTCACATACAAAGGGACGCATTCTGCGTTCCTGCGTAGAACCTTTCCACAGCTAGCCCCATTCCTCGAGAGAGAGACATTTTTTAAAGGCTAGATTTGATGTTGTTCCTTCTCACCACCCCAGTATTATCTCTCCATTCCATCTTTGTTACCTCTTCCTCCCTCCCTCTTTGGGGCATTCACATGGTCTTTCTTTATCTTGGAATGTGTCTACCTTCCGATCTTCCAGAGCATTGTTTCAAATGCCTGGAGTCTCTCCCGACTTCTGGCCTTTCTGATTCCTTATCCTCCCGTTCTTATCCAGTGCCACTTCTGAGAATACTCATCGGGACTACATACTCCCTCACGTTGGTGCTGACTGTAGGGTGCATCACTGCCTGCTCTTCTGTTTGCTCCAGCCCCTAGACTCTACACTCTGCTAAGTCAGCAGCAGTCATGTTCTCGCTCGCTCTCTGCACCTAGCACGGTGCTGGCACCTTAGGAGATGCGCCATGAAGGGTTCTTCCTTCCCTGCCAACGATCAGCGATACCAAAGCCTCTGAGCCCAAGTGCTCTGAGATTTAGGAACGCCACACCTGTAGTGACAGAGGACATCTCATCTGGGATAGAATGAGTCACATCCACACTATGAATGTTGCCTTTGTGAGGAGCTGAGCCCGCTTTTATATACGTAAGTAAACTAGGCAATAAAATGACCTCAACATAAAATGGCTCTTTGTATATTTCCTCTCTCCTCTCCCTTCACACTACTCACTTTGCAAAATATGGATGACTGAAAGTGTTCAATTTAATATTCCATTAAATTAAAAGTCTTGATATTTTCTTTTTAAAAAGACAACAGTGACAATGACAACAAAACTACCCCCAAGCCGAGAGCCTGAGGTCTGAACCTCTCCCGTGCGTTCACAGCTCCCAAGGCCTCAGGAAGCAAGCAGTGTTTTCTCCAAAGTTTTATTTTAGTTTAAAAAATATTGACTGATGTTCACCATTGGCAGTTCGTATGAAAGATCCCTTCCACGTTTCCCCAGGCTGTTGACAATGCGTGCCTTCGTTTGAGTTCTCACCTGGTTCTCCCAGCACCACGCCCAGGTGACTAGTCAGTCCTACCGTGGAGCCTGGGAGGCAATTTCTGGAAGGAATAAAAGGCTGCTGGCTGAAGCTCCTCGAAGCGTCTGGTACGGCTGTGCATGCAGCTTACACATGACCGTGAAGGTTCATGCTCAGCTGCCGCAGAACCTAACCTCGGCCTACTGGGGGCGTCCGAAAGCGAAGAAAGTTCTTCCATCCCCAGGAAAATGCTTTTCCCACCCACCAGGGACCCCTGCGTCAGAGCAGGCGATTCGGAGCCTGACTCTGGCTGAGACTCAGGTTCCTTGGCAGTGGGTCGCTCTGGTCACCAGTCCCTGGTCTCTTCCTTTGTCTTCAGAGGGGCCTGGCCACAGCTGGTGTTTTTTGGCCTCCTGCGGGCAGCACCTTCATTTCTCTGTGACGTCTGCCTGTTTCACCCATGAGGCTTGTTTGTAGGCCACGATGCTGCAAGAATTGACAAGAGAGAATTACAAGAGAACGGCAGGACTGGGGCAAAGATGTGCTTTGTCTGCACCAATGGCAGGGAGGCCTCTAGCCGCCTCTTTAGAGGTGTCATGTCTCATCACCACTGATAGGTGAGACCCTGTGCGGTACAGCATCAGAATGCTGGACCGAGTGGAGACACACAGCCCAAGGGAGCTTCTCTCATTCCAGGCTCATCCCAGTCATGTAACATCCGCAACCCTTTGCATCTCCATTTTTCTGGAATCTCTTTCTATCTCCCTCCTGCCCGAGGATGAACTCCCACGTGGATCTCAAGATCCAGGGTCACTCATCCCAAGTAGGGTCAGCTGCCTCATCATCTGCCTTTTCACAGCCCCTTCACATCTTCCATAATCCTTACACTGATTAAAGATACCTGCAGATAAATGCACGTGTAGGAATGTGTAGCCCTAAGTTGAGATCTTGGATCTGTGTGACCCGGGGGTCCTTGGTTTTCTTGCCTGTTTGGGCTCTAGGCACCTCAGGCTCTGTGCTCCATCTGGATGATACAGAACACCTGGAGCTGCTGGAGCGGGTGTGAGCCTAAACCCACACCTGCAAAGGAAAGCTTTGTGGAAACTTCCAGTCCCCCTGATTCCCCACCTTCCGAGAGCCCCAGGTCTCTACAGGGAGGGACTCTTACTGGACTTTAAACTTATATAAAACTGGCAAGGGGCGAGCCAAGACTTGGAGGCAGCCAGCCCAGGCCCACGTGAACTCCGGGGTGCAGCCGTGACCCTGCAGCTGAGCCCGATTGAGGAGCACTACAGGGCAGCCACAAGGTGATGGGCAGCCCCAGACTTCAAGGTCAGGCGACAGGCAGCACTGGGATGTGCTGGGCAGCAGTGCTGGTAGTGGGTGGCGTGCCCTATGATGGATCATTCGTTCATGAAACAGATGCACTTGAGTACTTCCTGGATGGCAGGGTCACTACCGGACACAGAGGGCACACGGTGAGACAGCCGCTATGCTCCCTACAAGGGCGCCTGCAGCCTGCAGGTGAGCGCTAGGAACAGATACTAAACAATCACCACTGTCGTGCTATGGAGGAAAAGGATAGGAGTTTTGGGAAGCACATAAGAGAAGGATCTAGTTCAGATCGAGAAGCGGATTTTCTCAGATCCTCTTAACCACAGCTGGCTGGGTTAAGAAAGAGGTGTGGGTGGGAAGGGGGGCAGCATGAGGAGAGGCCACGGGGTCAGAAGCATAGCATTAGGAGGGTGGTGAGTGGCAGGAGTAGGAGCCTAGGGAGGTTGGTGAGGCCAAGTATTGTAAGACCTTGTGGTCCGTGGTGTAATGTTTGGGTTTCATCCTAAGAGCATTGAAAGCCAAGTGCAGCGTTTTGAGCAAGAGATGACATGGTCTGATTTACCCTTTTGGGAAATGGCTCTGGCCACCTGGTGGAGAGAAGATGGGAGGTGAACGAGGGTGGGTGTGGGGAGGTGACTCAGGGCTGATTGGGGCATCCAAGTGCTTTGGACTAGGGGTGGAAGCAGAAAGACAGAAAGATAAGGATGAATTTGAGGCATATTTGGAGGTAGACTCGATGGGGCCCGGTGTGCTGGGAGGGGAGGAAGGAGAGAGAGGACACGGTGAGTCTGAGTGGTGGTGCCATTTAATGAGATGGGAAAGGCTGGAGAGAGAACAGACTTGGGAGAGTGTCAGAGCCGAATTTTGGATATTTAAATGATAATGTGAAGCTCTGAAAGTACCTGAGGTGACTTGGAGCAGCAGTTCCCAACCTTTTTGGCACCAGGGACCAGGTTCAAGGAAAATTTTTCTACAGATGAGGGGTGGGGATGGTGTCAGGATGATTCAAGTGCATTGCATTCAAGCTCACCTCCTGCTGTGCAGCCCGGCTCCTAACAGCCTGGGACTGGTTCCAGTCCGAGGCCTGGAGGTTGGGGACCCCTGACTTAGAGAATATAAATCAACAAGATGACAACCCAGAGCAGAGCCCCAAAGAATTCTTCCATATGGAGGTTTGTGGAGAAGAAGCGATCGGAGAGGTAGGAGAACAACCAGGAGATGGAGGTGTTGAGAAAGACAAGTGGCAGTGACAAGTGCCACCCAAGGAAAGAGTGATCAACAGGGTTGGGGGCCACTGAGAAATCGTGGGGTGAGGAGTGCAGAGAATCCACTGGATTCAGCTTTGAAGAAGTCCTGTCTTAGTCTTAGTGAGAGCAGCTCTAGGGAGTTGAGCTGGGGAGTCAGTCTGTAGAGGGTTGCAAAGGAAATGAGGAGGCACATGAGACAGCGTGAGCAGACCAGCCTTTGGAGGACTTGGCTGTAAAGAGGAGGAGGGGGAGACAGGAGAGAGGGCGGTGGATCGTGCATCAGGTCCGGTAGGGAGAGTTCAGGACAGAGAGCATCTCACCACTGTGGTGAGCACTTGGAGGAAATGGGGGAGGTGGCACCCAGATACTCGGTGACTTCTCTTTTTCTTTTTAAAAACTTATTTGTTTTTAGAGAGAGGGGAAGGGAAGGAGAGAGGGAGAGGCACACCCCAACTGGGGACCTGGCCGGCAACCCAGGCCTATGCCCTGACTGGGGTGGAACCGGTGACCTTTCAGTCTGCAGGCCAATGCTCAGTCCACTGAGCTACACCAGCCAGGACACCTGGTGACTTTTCTAAGAAGTGGTGTCACTTAGTGGATAAGGGAGACTGCTTGGGTTCAAATCCAGTCTCTGCCACTTATAGCTACATACCCTTTGGCAAGTTGCAGAAAGCTTTAGACAGGGGTGTCCAACCTGTGGCTCATGGGCCGCGTGTGGCTCGGGATGGCTATGAAAGGGGCCCAACACAAAACTGTCAGCTTACTTAAAACATTGAAATTTTTTGTGTGTGATTACATGTTGCAGTGTATTTAATGTGTGGCCTAGATAACTCTTCTTCTTCCAGGGTGGCCCAGAGAGGCCAAGAGGTTGGACACCTGCTAGATTTCGTTTCCTTATCTCAAAATGGGGATAATAATGGTAATTACATAAGAGGACTATTTGAGAAGACTAAATTAATTAAAATATATCAAATATTTAAAGCTGTGCCTGTCAGATATTAAGGGCACTAAAGTGTATGTAATTATTATCATAAAGAAGGGTGGGGCACCCTGGCTGGTGTGCCCACTGGATTGAGTGCCAGCCTGTGAACCAAAGGGTCATCGGATCAATTCCCAGTCAGGGCACTTGCCTGGGTCACAGCCCAGGTCCCCAGTGGGGAGCACTCGAGAGGTAAGCACACATTGATGTTTCTCTCCCACTCTTTCTCTCTCCCTTCCCCTCTATCTAAAAATAAGTAAATAAAAATCTTAAAAATTTTTTTTCAACCTTTAAAAAAAGGGTGAGGGAGGAAAAGGATAGGATGGGTACAAATGAACATAGGTTTGCAGATTTACTTCAGGGAAGATGGGGCCATTCTTCTCCGATGGCTTCTATTCTCTAGGAAACATGAGGTAGTAGCTGAGCACGTGTGTGTGGAGTGGGGAATGGGCTGCAGATGGGCAGAGTCAGACACTAATTTCTTCAGCATCTCCCCACTGCATATAAAGAAGAGCAGGCAGGAGAGGGCAGGAAACGTGAAGTTGGCTCCCTTTGGTACCCGGAAGGACCGGAGCCAAAGTCCCTTCTTGCGAATGGGCTGTTGGCAGCTGCAGCCCAGGGACCTCTCCTCCCAGCCTCTGCCCTCCACGGGCCCCTCTGCTCTCTGCTCTGACGTGCCTCCTTGGGTTCTTATGTCCTTGGGATGCAGCTTCTCTTTCTGCTGTTAGAAAGTTCTGCTGGTCTCACCTGTGAATCTCACTTAATAATTAATGGTACGGCCTTGGCCTCTTATTGCTGTAAGAACTTTCCCTGTGGTGGAAGGGAAAGGCAATGAAGACACTCCCCGTATACTAGAGGTTCTCAATCTTGGTTGCACATTTGAATAACCCAGAGAGCTTTTAAAAGTTTCTGTGCCCAGGCTGCACCCAGATCAACTGAGTCAGAACCTCTGGGGGTGGGATCCAGACATGGGTCACTTTCACATTTCTCTGTTTAGTGATTCCACTGTACAGCGAGCCGAGGAGGCTTTGTTCACATACCGCTTCCTCTACTGCTAACTGTCTACAAAAGGGGGAAACAATTAGCAACAACCGAAGCACCTCCTTCACCCACTTGACTGATTCAAGACTCCGTCCCTGCTCCTGTGATATAAGGTTGCAAAGACCACGCACGGCCTACTCAAGATTGCAGGCACAGAATGTACGACTGTGTCCAAGTGTGTGTTACGAATGCCCCGGGGTGAGCTGTCGAGGGCAGCACACCTGCTTCACGTGCCCTAAAAGTCTCTTAAGGAAGGCGAAGCATCCGACTTAGCACACACATGAAGCAGTGGAACCAGAATGGAACCAGTTACTGTCTTCCTTCTCATTGCCTTCATTGGACTATTCCTGTCTTTAACTATGACACCCATTATCTAGTCAGACTTGTTTTCTTTTGTTGTGCCATGGTTTTTGTTTATTTAGGTTAGAGGAACTACTTCAACCTACTGCTGATCAAATGGGACTGGATAGCTGCCAATGTCACGGCTACCAATCCATCGCTGACCTGGATGAAGAGCTGGGGCCCTGAGAGGTTCACCCTGCAGGCCAGGTCCCACAGAGCCCAGACTGTTCGGCCAAGGCTCCCATGAAGCGGGCGCACAGGACAAGAGCTAAGAGCCGGGCAACTTGAGGACGGGTCTGGCCCTGCTCTGCACCTTGAGAAAGTGAGAGCTGGGCCGGGAGGGCACTATAGTGCCTGCTGTTGGCACAAATTTCCTCATCTGTTTGAGCTTCATACCTTATTATTCTTAACTACGAAATAAAGTCAAAAGCCTCGCCCTGGCTGGTGTGGCTCTGTTGATTAAAGCTTCATGCCCCAAACCAAAAAGTTGTGGGTCTGATTTCCAGCCAGGGCACATACCTAGGCTGTGGGTTTGGCCCCCAGTCGGGGCGTGTACAGGCTACCAGTGGTGTTTCTCTCTCACAGACATGTTTCGCCTTCACTCTTCTTCCCTCCCTTCCCCTCTCTGAAATCCATGAGCATGTCCTTGGGTGAGGATTTAAAAAGAAAAAAGAACTCACTTAAAAAAAGTTTAAAAGCGCCTTAATGATTGGTGGCCCCTGTCCCAAAGACCCAACTCTCTTTGGAGGCAGGGACATACACTGTGATGTGATGTGAGAATTGAAAAGGGGGCCTCACCACCACCCACTTCCTACTTCTCCCACCTGCCTTCCCTCATTTTCTCCGCTGCTGCCCACAGCAGCACCACCACCACCACTGACAGGTACAGTTCTCCTGCACTTCTGGGCAGGTCCCTTTAAAACGCAACTCTGCAGTGAATCCCTTGCAGCTGACTGTGGATGCATTTACTGCATTCCTTTGCCCTCCGGTGGGATTGATACAAGCCTGAGAGAACTTCACTTTAGGAGAAGGTGGGAAGGTCCTAAACTCTCTGGGCTGTGCTGACGGATACGTAACCACTCGTCACACTGGCTACGAAGCAGTGGAAATCTGACTAGTCCACACTGAGATGTGCTGTCAGCATGAAGTCCATACTAGATTGCAAAGACTCAGTAAAAAGAAAGAAAACCTCATTGATTAATTTTGTAGATTGATTACATGTGAAGATGATAGTTTGGCTATAGTGGGTTCAATCACACTGTTATTAAAGTTAATTTCACCTGTTGCTGCCATCCTTTTAAAATGTGGCTACTAGAAAGTCTAACATCACAGACATGGCCTGCCCTGGTGGTTCAGGCTGTGCCCTCATCGGACGGGGCTGCTGGAGGGCCGGTCCCTGCCCTGTGGCCCGGCCAGGCGGTGACCTAGGCTGGTGCTCCGGCCGTGCCACTGGAGGGCTGCTTCTTTGCAGCTTTTCTCCCACCTGTTATCTCCTAGGCTTGAGTGCTCTTGTTTTATAAATGAGACAATGTCCCCAAAAGATGTCAAGGGAACTTCCCAAGTCTTTTGGGGACCTCACACAGTCCCCTGGCTGTGAGAGGTCAGGGGTACTGAGCACCCAGGTGCCAAGCCCTTGGAGGGCACAGGGAAGGAGGAGAGGTCGGGAGTGAGGAGGGATGACTTTTCGCTTCCTAAACGTGCTAAACCAAAGAGGTCCGAGAGGTTCCAGAGGTTTCTACTCCCAGCCTCTGAGTATAAGGAAGTGTATGAGGCCCCTATAAATAAATTATATTACAAAACCGCCAGGAAGTGAGCCAGCGGGTTGGGACCTTCTGTTCATTACTTATGACTGTGGGGAATTCCCAAATAATTAATTTGGGGGAACAGCAGGAATCTGTCTTTGTGCGAGAAGCTACTGAGAGCCCACTGAAAATAAATAATGCTTTATGACAGCGGGCTGGATGTGGCCCGCCCGTCCTTGACCTAAGCCCCGGGGCCCTGGCCCAGACAACAGTTGCTGCTCCTGTCTTACCCAATCGGGACGATGGCCAGGAAGGAGAGAAAGGAGGAGAGAGCAAAGCAGGTGCCGACAAACTTTTCCATGGTGAGCTGATAGAGCTCATTATATATCGTGGATGTCACCACCGAGGTGAGAGTCAGGGACAGCTGCAGGAAGACGAACACCTTTCCTGTGGAAGGAACCGAGGTTACCAGGAGATATGCTGCTCTCCCTGCCTGTCCCCAGCTAGCCGAGTCTCCGGGGAGCTCTCGGGGGACCCCTCCCCATCCCCAGGACTCCCTCTGGGTCTCAGGCCTCATTTCACCAGGGCTACTGCCCTGGTGTGGTGGGTCAGCCTGCGGTCCGTGGGTGGGAGTGTCTTCCTTTGGCTGTGGTTTCTCGGCAACTGACTCTCTGCCCCACTCCCCCAATTTCGCTCCCTCTGCCCGCAGTGGGCACCTGTGTGTCCCTAGAGTATTTGAGATTGCTTCTGGAACTCTCTTCATGTGCCTTCTACACGTCTGAACCCAGTGCCTCAAGCCACGCAGCTCTGCAACGGCCCAGGCAGGGAATCTCAGACAGATGCATTTCACTCACCATAGGAGGAGTCCTTGATGAGCTTGGACATGGCTGATCGAATGGTCGTGATGGGGATGAGCGCGAAGAGCATGACGGCTCGAGCTGGAAAGAAATCACACAGGAGCCCTCCTCACTGTAGCCCGGCCTTGGCCAAGGAGGGAATCAGCATAAAGTAAAAGCCTCACTTAGAATTCCCTCTCCCCATAACTTGCTACGCGGCTTGCTCTGCAAGACTCATTATTCCTGGGTAACCGTCTTAACTTGTGTTAGCTAAAGCACAGGCCTTTATGGGTTGTGCAAACCACGTAGAGTTAAACGAATTCTCGTCAACATGGATGCACATATCCACCAGGTGTCTCTTTCTAATACGCTGGCCACTAGCCACAGGTGGCTACTGAACTAAAATGAAATACAATTTTAAGTTCTGTTCTTTATTTGCACTAGCCACATTTCAATTGCTCAATAGCCACCTGTTGCTTGTGGCTTCTCTACTGGACAAAACAGAGACAGGTCACTTTGTCATTGTAGAGGGCTCCCCTGGAGGCCTGGTCTAGAGCTCCCTGCTCGTGGCTGTCTGAAATGAGTCCTCACATGGAAACTCCGTCCCACTGCCTTGAGGGCATTTGCTACATTGGTTATAGAAAGCATTTATAGAGAATTTTTAAACCCATTTTTAGAAAGCCCTTGCTTGGCCAGAAATGATTTTAATTAAAGGGTCTCTTCCGTTGAATTATTTCATGTTTTATCCTTTCAAATTGGGCAGCAGAAACCCAACCCCTCCCCTTCATCCAAGGCCATCACAAAGCCTCTTCTCTGACCCCAGGCCGCCCCTCCCATGACCTCCTAGAGCCGTGGACGCCACTCTGGGAACATTTCCACGGCAACTCAGTTGGCACGATGTGCGGTACAACACAGATCTACCCAAGTGTGCACAGACCTGTCTCCCTGGCCCCTCCGAGGCAGCAGGTCTAATCCCTTGTGCTGAGCGGGGACACCTAGACCACAGCACTCCTGGTATCAGCCCCCCGACTCAGGGGGCCTGCAGCGTCTCCGTGCTGCCTCCCCAGGAATGCCAGACTCACCGATGTAGAACATGTATGTGTATTTCACAAAGGTCAACAGGAAGGCCCCCAGCCCGAAGGAGACCATCCCGATCATGATCATGGTGGTGTCCCGGAAGCAGCGGGAGAAGAGCAGGACGCCCAGGAAGCTGGTGATGAAGATCATGTACCCTGCTGCCATGTTGTAGCCCACCTGCACTTGGTTCCAATGCAGCGGCGCCCTCAGCACAAAAAGGGATATCACGTCCACTGTGCCCACCACAGCCATGTCATAGAGGATGGCACCCAGAAAGAGCAGGGCAATAATGGTTTTGAGGGGCTTCATTTTCCTAGGAGGTAGGGGGGGCCCCTCCACACTCTGCCTCTCTGGCTCGTTGGAATCCAAGGTGCGGTATGTGCCAACGGTACCAGTCACAGTATCCACGGTGGGGGGTGCCTTTCTGGGTTTGGCCTCCAACTGAGGGACTTTCAGGACCAAGAGGCTGTAGAAAAAGGCAAAAGAGGCACAGCTCACGCTGCAGGCCGTCAGCACCAGGCCCCTCCAGGGTTGCCCAGATGTCTGCTGGAAGAGATGCCCTGAGACCATGCTCCCGCAGAACCCTGCCAAGCCCAAGATCAGGTCGATGAAGATGAGGCGGACCGAGCGGCGGCCCTCGGAGGAGCCCAGGGAGCCCAGGGCTACAACTCCCGACCAGTACGCCGAGAAGCCGCCACAGAGCCCATTCAGCCCCACGGCCCAGTACAGCACCTCCACGGGCCAGTCCCACAGCACCTTGAAGAGCAGCCCCAGTCGGCAGAGCAGGAAGCCCAGCAGGGCCACACACAGAGAGATCTTGCGGTGGTAGCGGTCGCTGAGCCAGCCCAGCCCGAAGGCAGGCAGCAAAGGCGTCAGGCCCAGCACCAGGTTGTAGATGATGTAGAAATTGGAGATGGCCTTCTGCTGTTCGTCCTCTAGAGCATCCCGCGGCGACGGGCTGGCGCTGTGGTTGGAGGAGGCTCTGGCCGCAAAGGATTCCTTTACCACTAGGAGCAGCCCCGTGTCGTAGAGGGAGCTGGCCACCTGAGTAGACGCCACCACGGGCTCAATCCAGGTCCGCATCTGAAGGCGAGTCAGGTAGCCCCTGCAAGGGCAGCTGGCCTCGGGGCCCATGTGGTCTCTGATGCGGGATGGAGGGGCTTGCTCAATAGCTGGCTGGCGGCTGCTCCAAAGCGCGTGAGCCGGTGCCTCCCTCGGGTGAGCGCAGGAGAGTGGAGCGGGGTGTGGGGCTCGTGTGACTGTTGCTAGCCCAGTGGCCAAGTAGCCTTCTCGGCTGCGGCCACTCCTCCGGAGCCAGAAGAGGCCGTGCTCCGCCCTCGCCTCCGCCCCTTCCAGCCGGAGTAGCCCGGCAGCCAGGCGCGGGGGAGCGCACTAAGAGTCTTGGCCCCCGGCGTCCGCACCTGTGGCTTCCGCACCTGTGGCGTCCGCACCGGTGGCCTCCGCCTCACGCTGCTCCTGGGAGCGCGGCCGCCTGACCAGGCATCGATATGCTCACAGCCAGGCGTGCCCCGACCTGCTGCAGGTCGCTGCGCATTTCTCCCTGGGGCCTGTCAATGCCCGGGCTGAGAAACCCCAGGCTTCCTTGCTTCCTTCTTTAAGTACGCACTTCTGCAAAGAGGGCCGGGGAGATGGGGCAAGAATGGCCATGCCCCAGGATGGAGAGTCAAAACACAACCTCTCTCCCTCAACCCCGGACACAGTGGCGCAGCCCAGATGGGTAGGAGCCCAAGGTCACACCAGGGAAACTCAAGTCTGCAGGGAGCGTTCACACAGCCGAACAGATCATGTGCTCTGGGTGTAGGGACTAAACTCGAAACAATCTTCTGTGGAAAGGTGTCCTTTAGGTCGTTTTTAGGTGAGCTGTCATCTTCTCTATGCCTCCCTGTCCCTGCCCAGCCCTGTGTCCAGGCCCAGACAACTCTGACTTCTGCAAAGACAAAGACTCACTTGATCCCCCCTTCAAGATGCGTCCCCTGGAGCTGTCCCCTCAGCTTCCTGGCAGTCCCCTCAGAGCTTCCCAAGTGTGCATAGTCCTCTCTCCCTGGCGCCTCTGAGGTAGCTGGTCTAATCCAGCTGGCCTCTTCCTCCCCCTCACCCAGGCCCACCTTGGGAGGAGCCGGTTTCATCCAAGACACGCAGGGCCCTCCCCCTGCTGAACCTGTGTTACCAGAGGCTGCAGCCAAGCGATCCCACCAGCCTGTCCCTGTGAGGGGCGGAGGCTCCAGGGGCCGGGTGGGCGATGGGGAAGGTGGTGCTCAGCAGTTAGAACGGCACTGAGAACAGCAGCCTGAACCAGGGAGCCCACTGTGGCCATCTGGTGAAGGCGTCTGGCTTCGCCAGGGGCTGCAGACACTCGAGGGCATGCTTCGTGCTCCGGAAGGGTCCCTGGTATTTGTCTCAGTTGTCGTCTCCTCTGGGGAAACCAGGGAAATTTTAGAGGACCCCTAGAGATTCACGTGAGATACAGGGCAGGTCTAGTGGGAGCCGGGCGTCATCGTACTAGCCAGCACTGGGACCCTCCAGGCTTGGGACCTGAAGCCTCTGATCCGGAAATGAACCAGCCCCAGGGCACTCGGTGGCTCTCCTGGTTTAGGCTACTCTGGTTGGGATGGTATTTTCACCAAGTCCCTATTACCCCTTCATCTCTGAATGCACGCCCCACCTGAGTTAGTGGCTGGCCATCCTGTGTGGCTCAGAGTACGGGCAGGGTATAGCCCGTGAGCCAAGTTGAATGCTGACCCTGCTGCTTTAGCCTCTAGTTCAAGGCTGGCTTTATTAAAGTGCAAAGGTTGAACTCTCTCATCCTTTACATTGATAAAGTCACACATCTGAGGAGAAAGAAACTAAAAAGAATTTTAAAAGAAGCAGCTAACATTTGCTGAGTCTTTACTATGTACTAAGCACTTTACAGGAATAAATTAATGTAATCCTTCTGAGAAGTCTTTAAGCTAGTCTGTCCTCTCATTTTATAGCTGCAGAAACTGAGGCCAGTGAGGTTAAGTAACTTGCCCAAGATCACACAGACAGTAAGTGGGGAAGCCAGTAGGACTTGGAGCCGGTCTTCATAAGCCTAGGGCTGTGGGAAATTGTATTTGAAGGTGTCCTCTCAAGTAACACAGGAATGTGGAGAGGAGCAGCAACACCTTAGTCGTTTTGAAATGATTACTTATTAACAGTGCATTGCACAAACGAGGCAAGAGGAGTGGATGGAAGTTTGTTTATTGAATGTACATCCTAGCACTTTACAATCATGTAGGGAACTCTTTTATTTTCTTAACGCATGGCCCCAAAAGCCAATTTAGAAAGGAACAGTCTGTGTTTGGAAAATGCCTTTGATCAGGTAGAAGGTAAAATCCTGGCCCAGATCTCAGCCGCGGAGGAGGCTGCAGAGGGCAGGTGGAATCCCTGTTTCTGAGTCGAGGACAGGAAGCTGTCCAGTGTGCTGGAGAGGGAGGCCTGGGACCAAGGGCAGAGGAGGGGGAGGGGCGAGAGAGATGTGGGAAGGGGGCCAGGGCAGGAGCCCCTGGTATCTGGGTGGTCAGAGGGGCCCTAGAAGAAGAGGAGCATCTCCTGTGGGCTTTAGACAGCCTGCCGGTCCATGTGTGTGTGTGTGTGAGCCCCCCCGAGACCTCTTCCCGCCTCCTCTGTTCTTCAGAAAAGTTTGCCCGTGACTGGTTTGTGAGAGTGGGACTTTGTGTTTTTCAGTTCAGTGGACGTGAGCAAAGCAGCTGTGCCTGGGTGCTTCGCGTCTGGGTTGACACATGCCCGAGCAGAGACCAGGAAAGGGGTGGAAGTGAAGGCCACACCAGCGCAAGGGTTTGCTGAAATCTGAGGCAGCCTCCGGGCTTTCACAGGCTGTGGACGGATGTGGCGAGTTAAGCCACCTGACTCAGAGCGTGATGGACCGAGAGACCGTACCCCTGACATGCAGGCTGCACTGATGAAGAAGGAAGAAGTGCTGTTTTTTTAAAAATTGTTAATATTGTATTTTAGGGGTTGGGGTGAGTCTCTCGCCAAGACATTGCAAGCAAGGAAAATAAGATGCCTCCTGAAGCATAAATATATCCCGGAACAAGGCAAAGATTCACAAACTCATCCTAGGAGACAGACAGACCTTGTCGGGGGCCACTGCCTCTGAGGGTGTCCCAATGCCTGGTCCAAGTCCCCTTGCCTGAGCACAATAATTTTCTCGTTGTGATTTTACTCCCCAAATATAGGTGCACACAGAGAGAAAATGTGATAGTTACTTGGATGCTCCAAATCATTTCTCAAGGTAAATTCATCAGTTGGCATTCTGATTTGTCTGTCTGCCTGTCTGGTTTGGTTCATGTGAGCCTCGGACTGGGAGGTGGTTGCCCGTCCATGTGCTGATGAAATGCAGTTTTTCAGATCCTGTCAGGCTGAGAGCTAGGCCCTATCTATAATACGTATACCAAAGTAATGAATGGTACTCACGGGTATTCTTGAGAGACTGTTTCATTGACCTTCCCCGCTTGAGGCGGCACCCTGACAACCCCCAATTTTACAGATGAGGGAACCAAGACTTAGGGCAGCTGAATAATTTGCACGAGGTCCTCACAGAGCCAAGATTCAAATCTAGGCTTGTATGGCTTCCATGGGTATGCTGTTTACACGGTGCTCCATTTTGATGTAATTGAACAGAAGAGACACATTTTTTAAAAGCATCCGTTTGTTGAACACTTCGCATCAAGTACTTGAACCTATTCCTACATATAGTCAAATACAGTGGTTCATTTGTTCATTCATCCTCTATCATCTACTATGCATTTATCCACCCATCCATCTATCCATCTATCCACAGGTATATTTTGAGTATCAGACCCAAGGATACAAACTCCTTTGCTCTCAAAGATCTTTCAGTCCAAAGAGTTATCAACAGGCACTGCACTAACACTCCAAGTTCTGCTTTGCATATGAAGTCACTGATGCCAGGCTGGGCCTCCTCTTGCATCAAAGACTGGCTTTGTGGGATTCCTCTCCACCCTAAGTCTGCTACCAACTTGAATAACCTCATAAACAACCTGCTCAGTCCTGCAGAAAAAGAAGACATCTGTTGTTTTTGCTGGCCAGCATACATTGGACCTTCTGGTAACAGCACCCCATTTTCCTTTTGATGAACCATCCTCCAAGTGGGTATGAGACTCAGGTCTGGCCAATCCCAGAGATGAGTGCCTGTGATCACAGTGATTGGTTCAGAGATAGGAATGTGACCCAATTTTGGACCAATCAGAATAAGGCCCAGGACTTAGGCTTAGTTAGGCTTATTCTTTTCTGTTCACCTTGGACTGGTGGTGATGAAAGCCCGGAGTTGCTGGCAGCTGATTTGCTACCACTGCAAAGGAGCTTACCTGAGATCGGAGCCCGTGCGGAAAAAAGCAGAACTGAAAGGTGGAGAGAATCCAGATCCTGAGGACACCATGAGAGCTGTGCCTGAAGCTAAACTCTCCCTCTGCTATTTAACAACAAAAGCTTCTGCATTCCCTTTTCAAATTTGATTTGGGTTTTCTATCAATGGCAAATAAAATAGATTTGAGGGCGTTAACCCAGGGCCTTTAATTTTTGGTGACTTCCCCCGCTTGTCAGCCATATCTCCCTAGGATCCAGTAACCAACCAGCTGTACTGTGCCCCTCCAAAGTCAGTAATTCAAACATCCCACTCTGCCTCCTCTCCTTCTGTGTTGCTTGTTAACGACTTCCGCTGCAATGATTCTTTGATCCAATCAGGACCCATGTGCCCCTTCACTAAGGCATGATTTTCCAAACCAGTAGCTTTTCTTTCTTTTCTTCCTCTATCATCTCAGTTAAGATTTTGTGGCACATCATTTTAACAACACGCTGTTCAATAGATCAGAGTCTCTGGTTCTTCGGTCTTTTCAATGCATATCAACCTTGGATCAACCCAATTATCAGCTGAGGACTGTTGGGGAAAGTCTCACAATAGGGCAGATTTTAACCATAAATTTATAAACTCAGATCTCACATGAGCCCTCGAAACTATCCAGCAGCCCTACGATGTTCCTCCAGCCAACTCTCACTCTTTAATTCTGCAAAATTACAAGTTCAGAACTTGGCCATTCCCTTCACACTTCCAAACTCCTTTACTATTTTCTGTTTTATTTCTATCCTCTATCACGCCACTAAGATGGACTTTTCTGAGGTCAGCAGTCGTGCCATGCCAACAAATTCAGCGGGCCTTTTCAGTCCTACTCGACCTACTCAACTCTGAGCAACCTTTGAGAATTTTGACCTCTTCCCAAAGCTACTGAGAGTTTATGCTTTTGCTTTGGTAGCACCACGCCTGGTGGCTTATCCCCTTTCTCTCTGACCACTCCTCTCGTCTTCGGAGACTCATCAAACTCTAACCAGTCTTTGA